CGTCTGGCGTCGGTGTAGAGGCATCAGGCTGCATGGAGATCTCTGCAGAAGTCACAGTCGCTGACACCGGTTAAGCTTCTTCTGCCGTGAAGTTAGGGGATGATTATCGGCTGATCATCATAGAGGCCCAACTCTGCTGCTGGAACGATCTCGGCTGAGAAAGTTCTTGCTGTCTTCGTGAATTTCCCTTTGGAAGTCTGCGCTGCCCTGGGTAATCCTCAATCTGCGTTGAGGCGACGATGAGACCCTCTTAGACTTAGTCTGCAATGACCGGGATGTCTGGGGGAGGCGGTTAAGTTTCTTCGAGTAACGGACTCGTCCCCACGTTCCTCTGCGCGGGGTCTCTAGCAGAACACCAGACGGGGAGAGGGTCGATCAGCTAGCAGCTGACTGGAAGGAATATCTGGACTCTCTGCCATGTTTTGCCCTTGTTTGCGTGATCTATCTGCAGCCGCGTCTTAAAGCGCCAAAGATGATATTTATTAAATGCAGAATGAGATAAATTAATGCAGTAACTGCAAAAGCGTGAATTAAACGCTACAATGGCGTAGAACAACTAGGGCATATTACATGGGATCGGAGGCAGAAAAGCGTAATCTACAAATCGTACAGATTTTCATGAGCGTGAAGCTAGCTGAACAATCCGCGAATACACGTGAATAAACAGTAGAAATACGATAATTAATCAATACAAATAGTAAAGGATACTAGCTATACCTCTATAGTAACCTATGAGAGGTAAAACTAAGAGATTATCAAAGGATATGTGTGTAAGGAGACACAAGGCTCTCACATCCTGCTCACTGGAAGAAGGAGAGTGAAGCACATGGCCAGAGGGTGGCGACACCTTTTCCGCCAGGGGAGACAAAGGGGAGCAACTTCGTGGTGAGTACCAATTAGTGATTTTATTTTTGAAGGGCTTCAAATAAGGAGATACAAGTGTTCCACTATGTTCTAAGCAAGAAGAAGAAGACAAGCAAAGAGCATGAGTCAGGATAAGGAAAATAATAAACTTCATAGATACAGGCTACCCCACCCTCCACTATCACAGAGGGGAACACCATAAAATAAACGTCATAGATACAGGCTACCCCACCCTCCACTATCACAGAGGGGAACACCATAAATAAACTTCATAGATACAGGCTACCCCACCCTCCACTATCACAGAAGGGAACACCATAAGTAAACTTCATAGATACAGGCTACCCCACCCTCCACTATCACAGAGGGGAACACCATAAGTAAACTTCATAGATACAGGATAACCCACCCTCCACTATCACAGAGGGGAACACCATAAATAAACTTCATAGATACAGGCTACCCCACCCTCCACTATCACAGAAGGGAACACCATAAGTAAACTTCATAGATACAGGATAAACCACCCTCCACTATCACAGAGGGGAACACCATAAATAAACTTCATATACAGGCTACCCTACCCTTCACTATCACAGAGGGGAACACCATAAATAAACTTCATAGATACAGGCTACCCCACCCTCCACTATCACAGAAGGGAACACCATAAGTAAACTTCATAGATACAGGGTAACCCACCCTCCACTATCACAGAGGGGAACACCATAAATAAACGTCATATACAGGCTACTCTACCCTTCACTATCACAGAGAGGAACACCATAAATAAACTTCATAGATACAGGCTACCCCACCCTCCACTATCACAGAGAGGAACACCATAAATAAACTTCATAGATACAGACTACCCCACCCTCCACTATCACAGAGCGGAACACCATAAATAAACTTCATATATACAGGCTACCCCACCCTCCACTGTCACAGAGGGGAAAACTAGAAATAAACTTCATAGATACAGGCTACCCCACCCTCCACTATCACAGAGGGGAACACCATAAATAAACGTCATAGATACAGGCTACCCCACCCTCCACTATCACAGAGGGGAACACCATACATAAACTTCATAGATACAGGATACCCCACCCTCCACTATCACAGAGAGGAACACCATAAATAAACTTCATAGATACAGACTACCCCACCCTCCACTATCACAGAGCGGAACACCATAAATAAACTTCATATATACAGGCTACCCTACCCTTCACTATCACAGAGGGGAACACCATAAATAAACTTCATAGATAAAGGCTACCCCACCCTCCACTATCACAGAGAGGAACACCATAAATAAATTTCATAGATACAGACTACCCCAACCTCCACTATCACAGAGGGGAACACTATAAATAAACTTCATATATACAGGCTACCCCACCCTCCACTATCACAGAGGGGAACACCATAAATAAACGTCATAGATACAGGCTACCCCACCCTCCACTATCACAGAGGGGAACACCATAAATAAACTTCATAGATACAGGCTACCCCACCCTCCACTATCACAGAGGGAACACCATAAATAAACTTCATAGATACAGGCTACCCCACCCTCCACTATCACAGAGGGGAACACCATAAATAAACTTCATATACAGGCTACCCCACCCTTCACTATCACAGAGGGGAACACCATAAGTAAACTTCATAGATACAGGCTACCCCACCCTCCACTATCACAGAGGGGAACACCATAAGTAAACTTCATAGATACAGGATAACCCACCCTCCACTATCACAGAGGGGAACACCATAAATAAACTTCATAGATACAGGCTACCCCACCCTCCACTATCACAGAAGGGAACACCATAAGTAAACTTCATAGATACAGGGATAACCCACCCCTCCACTATCACAGAGGGGAACACCATAAATAAACTTCATATAAGGCTACCCTACCCTTCACTATCACAGAGGGAACACCATAAATAAACTTCATAGATACAGGCTACCCCACCCTCCACTATCACAGAGGGGAACACCATAAGTAAACTTCATAGATACAGGATAACCCACCCTCCACTATCACAGAGGGGAACACCATAAATAAACTTCATATACAGGCTACCCTACCCTTCACTATCACAGAGAGGAACACCATAAATAAACTTCATAGATACAGGCTACCCCACCCTCCACTATCACAGAGGAACACCAAGTAAACTTCATGAATGCAGGCTGCCCACCCTCCACTATCACAGGGGAACACCATAAATAAACTTCATATATACAGACTACCCCACCCTCCACTATCACAGAGCGGAACACCATAAATAAACTTCATATATACAGGCTACCCTACTCTTCACTATCACAGAGGGGAACACCATAAATAAACTTCATAGATAAAGGCTACCCCACCCTCCACTATCACAGAGAGGAACACCATAAATAAATTTCATAGATACAGACTACCCCACCCTCCACTATCACAGAGGGGAACACTATAAATAAACTTCATATATACAGGCTACCCCAACCTCCACTGTCACAGAGGGGACACTAGAAATAAACTTCATAGATACAGGCTACCCCACCCTCCACTATCACAGAGGGGAACACCATAAATAAACGTCATAGATACAGGCTACCCCACCCTCCACTATCACAGAGGGAACACCATAAATAAACGTCATAGATACAGGCTACCCCACCCTCCACTATCACAGAGGGGAACACCATAAATAAACGTCATAGATACAGGCTACCCCAACCTCCACTGTCACAGAGGGGAACACTAGAAATAAACTTCATAGATACAGGCTACCCCACCCTCCACTATCACAGAGGGGAACACCATAAATAAACTTCATATATACAGGCTACCCCAACCTCCACTCGCTCAGAACCATCATTGCCTCACATGATATTATGTCGATTTGGTTCTAAAGTAAACTTACTCGTGACTTACATTGGGGTGGAGAGGGAAAGGGAGGCAGGCTTTTGGGTGCATTATGCAAACTATATCGGGGCGGTGTGTAAGTGATCTAAACGGGTTAAAACTGTAACTGATTATGGTATCTGGTTCATATTAGTTGTATTGTTTTAGAAAAAGGAGAAAGCTTGGTTTCAGCGTCATTGTTCAAAACCGACGGTCATTACTGATTATTTCTCGTTTTCATCACATCTAGAATAATTCTGTTCGTTATCATTCATGCAAACTTTCACCTTCCTTGGCCTTCTAAATGTACTGATATGAATATGATATGATATGATTTTTGACAACTGATACACAGGGGCTTGTAACGCTAAAAACTGCCATCAAGGCATATACTATCACTGACGGGTCTTTTCCTTTTATATAGTACTAAGGGAGACGGTGATTTCGTTCATTTCTAAAGAAGAGGACAAAACCAGTTCAATCATTTTATCTGTGACGCCAAATTATTTCAATTATGTGAATGCGTGAATCCAAAACCGGTTCAGGATCGGTGAATTATCGTAGGACGGTGTATAAATAATTGAATATATAGTTTGAATTTTACTTAGATGTTAACTGGTTTCACTGAGTTGTTGTGAATGTTATTTAGGAAGTGGTGAGTTGTTTTGATTGCGAAGTACTCTGTGTGGGAGATGTAAGTGTTTTTTCTTAAAGAAGTGTTTTCTGCTACTTCTCTGCTGGTCTGCGTAGTTAAACGTTGAATGACGATACTTACCTAATACATATCTTTTAATTTCATCATTGAGGATGAACTTTTCCCCATTTTAATAACGTCTACGAATTCACCGCTCGAATCCGTCTACGAATCCACCGGATTTCCACGTCTACGAACCGGTTTTGGTTGGTTACGAATTCACCTACAGCCAGTACCGTAAGACCCCGTCAGCTCAATAAAATAGTATATGCCTTGATGGCAGTTTTTAGCGTTACAAGCCCCTGTGAACTGATAAACATCTGGGATATTTGATCACACTATACTGTAAACATCGTATCTTCAACTTTCGTGCAAATTCCGCAGGGTTATACGAGCTAAAGTAAGCCAGGCGATCATTTTCGATACTTTTTAAAGTTGCGCGTCATTAGCAACAAGCTTCGACACGTATGTGCGTGTTGACACCGGAAATGCATATTTATCCTAACGCGCATGCGCGGTAAACAATATGTCTGACAGCGCCTTGTTTGAAAGACGATGATTTGGAAAAAGTTGCAAACATATAATTATCCTGAGCAAATGAGGGCACAACTTAGCACAAATGTGCTGGTGTGTCCGAAGTTATAATTATCCTTACATATAAGTTTGATGGAATCATCATTTAAAGATGAAAACACTCATGGCATAGTGTTGATAAGGGGTGGCTGTCACTTTCCAAAGTCGTGTTGAAACGTGCTGTTGCTATTATTTTAGATTTTAGGTTGATTTGATTTACGTTCTCTCACCAGCGTCATCATGGCATCCGTAAGCGATGCTAGTGTTAGCAGTGCCCATATATTCCGTGGATCTGAGTATATTGTGACTCTCGAAAGCCAAGCAGGTGCTGTTTTGGTTGAAGTTGAAGATAAGTTGTCAGCAGATCAATGGCGAGCAACATTTGACTCCGCCTGTAAGTATGCATTGCATCTAACAGAAACTTTGTATTGCTAAATCGATGACAGTTGAGAAAGTCTTACGCAAATTAAAAGCCAACCTCTTCCTGAAGTTTGTTATACAAATGTAATACAACTCAGCATTAATCATTGTTAATTGGGGATGTTATGTAAACGCAGTCGTTTCATAGTTTTTTAAGGACTGTGTTTCATATACTTTGTGGATTCATGCTTTTGTTTCATAAGATGCAATTAAAAATGGCCAAACACCTTCAGACCCCCCAATACAGCTCTTGATGTCTCTGTCATTAGTGTAAAAAAATGCAAAATGCTGGTTCAATTTAAAAACAACATTAACAGTTTCCTAAGCTGGATGAGTATGTGTATTTAATAGTAACACAAAATAAGTGGTACATTCTACTCCATTGGACTGATCACTTGTCAATTTGTCATAGTATGTTACACCCAAAGGTCTTGTCAAAATATATATACACGCATAACCTTGATTCGTGGATATAAGGGAAGTGCTGCGAAGTTCATATTTTAAATGCATGATTTCATTTTGTATACGCACTGATTATTTTATGCATTGATTCAGCAAATTGAAAATGCCGAATATTCCAATCATGAATGAAACGTTTGTTTACGGAAGCCATTTGCAAACATCACCCATTCGTGTGCCCACAAAATGTGACTTCATGTCACCTTGTTTCGTGGATTACATAGTCGGCTACTTTTTACCACAATGTATGACATCCTACTGCAGTAAGTATTGACACTAAGGAAAGCAGACAACGAGAAGTAAGAAGCTTGGAGCTAACCGTATCTTATTTACTTGACATTTTGTAAAAATAAAATTTGGTAATGGTGGTATTAGTGATCTGGGGCTATTTATCTCAATGCTGGACAATTATATTTAGTATTTTTGCGTGTAATGCAGAGCTTCAGAACTTATTTGTCAGCGAGGCGTGGCATTGTATGTACATCAAAAGTACCGCTTCGTGACGTCAGTCGAGACTTAATTTTCGATCTGGCATGATAATTTCCGCGATCAACGAATCAAGGTTATCCACGAATTTAGGTTACGGTTCTGTACCACAAGATGATACAACTTCTGCATATATGAAATCAAAAGGATGTTACAAAATATAGTGTAATTTTCAAAATTAATAAATATATCGGGTATGAATGACCCAGTCATCCAGGGACCTACCACTTTGCTGTGCTCCTTGTATATACCAGAATACAGCACCACAACCTCTTGTGCGGAGGAGCTCTGTTGTACTTGTAGGTCACATGTCATATGACATGCAACCAGTTTTGTGAGCATCCTTCTATTGTTAGCCTGATAGCTAACTGACTTAGCTACATCCAGACTGTTACACTAAGAACAAAGTTATCCAGTCGTTAACCCATTCTGCCGATCAGTGTTAGATTGCTCTTTTTGTGTGCTGGCAATTAGGTGTCTTATTTCGAGAGTGTGGGTTTGAATCCTGAATGGGTCCTCTTAAATTATATTACCAAACACAGGACACAAAATATAGAAATTTCAATGCAGATATATATATGATTCAAGCCAGTACACTGTCTGAATTTGATGACATTTCCAGCATAAATATAAGGCAGTGTCAGAGCTACAGATAACTCTTTTGGGTCATTGAGTTATGTACGCGCTTGTTTTCATCTCAATTGGGTATCCTAATTTTCCTTTTAGTAACCAAATAAATTGTACCCACCTCACTCAAACTCAATTGGGTATTTTGCCATTTTCCATTAATTGTAAAAATATGATAAAGTTTAAATGTTATTTATAATAAATTATATTGGATCTGTAAAACGGTGTAATATGAGAAACGATAAGAAAGACTGCAAGTTGCCAAGTTCATGTGTTGGAATAGAATCTCTGAATATACCTGTTATTTTATCTAAGCACCGGTACACAGGCTATGAATCGACATTTTTGTGTCGATTTATAGCATGTAAGATCAAACTTACTGAGTATTCACAAAAAGTCAAGCATACTTGTACACAATAAACTTAATAAGAATTGAGTTTTCACATAAATATTTACGTAATATACGCAGATTCACAGCTTATCTGTACCTCTGCAGTGTGTAAGTAATCATGTCTGTATGTTTAGCCTCAAGTTTAAAGCCTGAGTCCTGTAAAAAATTCAGTTTTGTCTTATAAACTTAGTGAAAATAAAATAAATTCAATGGAAGGTAGAGCATAAAGCATCGAAAACCAGGTTCTGGTTAATATTCTGAGAAGTTTTTGGCGTAGTGTTTGTTATATAGTATTAGTAATAATGATTTATGTGAACGGCACAAACATACTGGAATTGACTGTGTGGAACATCTTTATGTCACTGGTGTGAGTGGTAAAGTACTTTTCAATGAGTTGCATCTGTACAATTTTTCCAAAACACAAACAACTTTTCAGGGGATTTACAGTAAAATATTGGAAATGTCATCATAGTGTCCTTACAGAAGGACATAACTGTTATCATGATTATAAGCACAACTGCTAATATAAATAACAAATAAGGTGTCAGTTTAAAAAGTCTTCCTTTAAGTGTGGTGGTGCTTGGTTGTGCTTACATTAAAAGCTTTTTTTAATGGTACTATGGTTGGTATGTTTAGCATGCTTCGCGAAAGTAATTCTGGTAATTTGAAGTATGGTATCCATGGTAACAGTTTGTTTCACCAGCTCTAATCTTTTCAACTTGTTTTCATTAATAATTAGAAGATATTATTGCACCAACCCATGAAGATCTGGGGTTAGGATTGGTCTTGAATAGCTTTTGCCTTGTCATAACAGGCAGCTAACATTATCGTGTGGTCAGACTAGCTAACTCTGTTGATACATGTTATTATATCCCTATTGTGAAGATTGATGTTCATGATGTCAATCACTGGATTGCCTGGTTCAGACTCCATTATTTAGAGAGTGCAGTCAGATAGCTGGAACATAGTTCAGTGCTGTGTTAAACAACAAGTAAAGCTATTATGGCACCAATACTAGACTCTATTACACATACCATAGTCACAAACTTAAATCATTATTTGTGTCTGAATTCACTGCCATATGTATGTTTGCATTTCCATTTGTAGTTTTATTTGTAATCTTTGTTCCTTGCAGATATTGAGGATCTCACACATAAGACTGGGAATTTCAAACAGTTTAGTGTCTTTATCAGCATGCTTGAATCAGCTATCTCACAGGTACTTTGACATACTGATAACAATATATGTTTAAGTTCAGAATATAAGGCGAAATATAAAACACATTGGTTTTACTATAGGCCGGCAACTGAAATTTACATCAGTCCAATGTTCAAGGGCCCCTATAATTAAGAATGTCATTGGCCCTTATTATAAGTTCAGTGTTCATAAGAGTGAGGTTAGCGTAATATAGAATTTCATTGGCCTTAACATGTTACATTGAAATGCAACTTTATTGAGTGTGTACATGTAAAACTTGTTTAAAGTAAGGGAAAGAATGTAAGTAAGCAAGAAAGTATTGCCAGACCTAGTTCCTGGTCACCAGTGTATATAGTCACCATCATAGGTGGAATATTGCTAGGTGCAGTGTTAACAGATAGAAAAACACTTCGGTGATATTACAATACATGTGTGTGACTTTAAAACTTCCTGACAGATTCAATCCCTCCTGTTGATAACAAATCTGAGTACATGCCTTTATAATGCTCATGTCACATTTTAATGCAACATGACCACCTATTCTTCTTGTGAATAACTTCTACCTAGAGAGCAGAGCATTGCTGGTTCATTTCCGAGCGACGTCATATGAGAAGATGTTACTTGTTGTTCCCTGGCCTGGTGCTTGCCATTAAGGGGATCAATTCCCCACATGGGTACAATGTGTGAAGCCCATTTCTGGTGTCCCCTGCCATGATATTGCTGGAATATTGCTAAAAGCGGCATAAAACCATACTCACTCATTTTGTGGCAGGGTATCTCTGTGGTTGAGTACCATAACATTAGATATATAAAACAGAAACACACATGGGCACCCTTTTACTATGTAAGGATAGTCTTGAGTGCTACATTAAATCCCACTCTTACTCCAGACATTCAATATTCTCTGATTTGATACACGTCCTTCTGAGTTTTAAAGACCTGTTCATGTGTTGACAGACCAGTGACAGTGTATCTCTGGACCTGCTGACCTATGCTGACCTGGAGTCTCTCCGACAGAAGAAGACAGGCAGCAACGTCAAGTCCTCCATACCCGCACCAAGAGCCTCTGTCCTCAACTCAAAACGCTACCTCATTCTCACATACACTGTAGAATTTGACAGGTAACCTAACATAGATGAGGACAAGTTTGACAAAGTAATCCGATATGTTCATAAAAATGTGATTTAATTTGTTCACACCTTCATTTGTATTTTTTTAAAATAATAATAGATTTAGATGTAGATGTAGGGGTAAGGCAAACATGTGAGAAATGATGGTTTCCAATGTTTTTTTAAATTGTTTTAATTAATATTTGAACATTAACATTCATCACTTTGAAAATAACTATAAACAGCTTATTTCTGGGTTTGTATCAGCTACTATCTAAACCCCTGGTTGTGTTGCCAGACTAATGGTCACTGACTGTTGTAGGATCCACTACCCATTGCCTCTGCCCTATGTGGGGAAGCCAGACCCTCGTCAGCTGCAGGAGACCATCAGGAAACTCAAGGGGGAAATCAAGGTCATGCGGCATCAGGTAGTGTTGCTGGAGAGAATGCTTGTATCCAGGGATACATGGGCACAATTTTACCTCAGTTAAATATGCCTTTGTGTCACCCAAGTTGCTAAACCCAACAAAATAGATCATACTAAAAACTGTTTAATGTTATGATTTTTATGTATTTTTATATTTGTTTCATACAGAAAACATTCACCATGTCTACCTATTCATTTGTAATCATTTTATAGTCTGAATAATAATTAAACCGTTTAAGACCTACCCGACCTACCCTAACCCACTATGTCATGTTGATATTGGTGGGTTGTGTTGCCCCAGTGGTTGTTTTGTCGTCACAACTCCATGTTTCCTTACATCTGGCTGCATGGTAATAGTGTGGTCTCCACAGATGAACACAAAATGATGATTCAATTATGTTTTGATCATCCCAAACCTTTTATCATTGCAGGGAATCTCAGAAACCAAAATGAGAGAAAATGAAAGACTTCATAAAGAGTGAGTATCTTCTGGTAGGAAGAATAGGAATTCAATTCCCTGAATCTGCTGTAGTTGAGGAATGTCACTCACAATGATCGATCGTAGGGATGTTAACCCCTTTCCACCTCTGTAGTGATACTTGAGGTGTAAGAACCTGAAACATGTGAAACATGTAATTGTGCAACTGGAACAGCTACAACTTGTTAAATTATTATCCCCTGATGCAAAATGGCCAAGGGATATTGGAACGTCCTTCCTTTTTAAGTCCATCTGCTTCTCAAAGAGGACATAGAACATTGACATGTTTCATTGAAAGGGTTTCTAACAAGGATGAGTGTATTATTCTGTATGTCCCACACATGTGATTTCTCTTATGATAGCTGGTTGTGTTGTTTTCAGTGCATTTGAACTATCACTTCTGTTTCACATAGGAACTCCCGTCTACAGAAAGACAAAGAATCACTAGAGGCTGATTTCCTTCAGTACCGCCGTGAACTGAAGAGTACATCAGCAGGGAGTGCTGCGAATGACGTGAGAATGTTGAAGACTCTGGTGAAGAATCTGGAGGAAGACTTGATGAAGGAGAAGTCCAAGCATCAGAGACTGGCAAGCAAGCGGGGCCAGGAGTACAGGGAACTTCTAGAGGAGGTAGGTGTAGGTTGGGGTTGGAGGTGAGCGGTGGATAGAAGGAGTACGGGGATCTTCTAGAGGAGGTACGTGTAGGTGGGAGGTGAGGGGTGGATAGAAGGAGTACAGGGAACTTCTAGAGGAGGTAATGCATGGTGTAGGTTGGGGTTGGAGGTGGCTTTAGAGTGGATAGAAGGAGTGGCAAGTGGATCTTCTAGAGGAGGCTGCATGTGGGTTGGGGTTGGAGGTGGCTGCAGTGGATAGAAGAGATGCAGGGGATCTTCTAGAGGAGGAATGCAGTGTAGGTTGGAGGTTGGAGGTGGTGGGAGGTGGGTAGAAGGAGTAGGGAACTTCTAGAGGAGAAGTGATGCAGTGTAGGTTGGGGTTGGAGGTGGCTGATGGATAGAATACAGGGGATCTTCTAGAGGAGGTGCGTGTAGGTTGGGGTTGGAGGTGGCCGGTGGATAGAAGGAGTACGGGGATCTTCTAGAGGGAGGTATGCACGGTAGGTTGGGGTTGGAGGAGCTGGGGTGATAGTGGGAGGGAGAAGACTTCTCTGGGGAGTACGTGTAGGTTGGGGTTGGAGGTGGCGGTGGATAGAAAGAAGTACAGGGAACTTCTAGAGGAGGAATGCAATAGGTTGGGGTTGGAGGTGAGCGGTGGATAGAAGGAGTGCAGGGGATCTTCTAGAGGGAGATGCGGTGTAGGTTGGGGTTGGAGGTGAGCCGGTGGATAGAAGGAGTACGGGGGATCTTCTAGAGGAGGAATGCGCGTGTAGGTTGGGGTTGGAGGTGGCCGGTGGATAGAAAGAGTACAGGGATCTTCTAGAGGAGGTACGTGTAGGTTGGGGTGGAGAGGTGAGGGTGGGTGGATAGGTGGATAGTACAGGGAACTTCTAGAGGAGGTGACAGCAGTGTAGGTTGGGGTTGGAGGTGAAGCTTGGTGGATAGAAGGAATACAGGGGATCTTCTAGAGGGGAGTGTAGGTGTAGGTTGGGGTTGGAGGTGGCGGTGGATAGAAGAGGAGTACAGGGAACTTCTAGAGGAGGCACGTGTAGGTTGGGGTTGGAGGGTTAGGTGGTGGATAGAAAGAAGTACAGGGAACTTCTAGAGGAGAATGCACGTGTAGGTTGGGGTTGGAGGTGAGGGTGGGTGGATAGAAGAATGAGGGGATCTTCTAGAGGGAGGTGAATGGATAGTGTAGGTTGGGGTTGGAGGTGGGGTTGAGGAGGTGGATAGAAGGAGTACAGGGAACTTCTAGAGGAGATGTGTGTAGGAGTTGGGGTTGGAGGTGGCTGGTGGATAGAAGGAGTACAGGGGATCTTCTAGAGGGAGGTAGGTGTAGGTTGGGGTTGGAGGTGGCGGTGGATAGAAGAAGCACGGGGATCTTCTAGAGGGAAGTACGTGTAGGTTGGGGTTGGAGGTGGCCCGGTGGATAGAAGGAATGCACAGGGGATCTTCTAGAGGAGGTGCGTGTAGGTTGGGGTTGGAGGTGGCGGTGGATAGAAGGAGCAGGGGAACTTCTAGAGGAGGTAGGTGTAGGTTGGGGTTGGAGGTGGCCGGTGGATAGAAGGAGCAGGGGATCTTCTAGAGGGAGGCACGTGTAGGTTGGGGTTGGAGGTGGGGCGGTGGATAGAAGGAGCACGGGGATCTTCTAGAGAGGAGGTATACGTGTAGGTTGGGGTTGGAGGTGGCCGGTGGATAGAAGGAATGTACAGGGATCTTCTAGAGGAGGAGGCAATGTAGGTGGATAGAGGGGTGGCGTGGATGAAGAAGGAATGCAGGGGGATCTTCTAGAGGAGGGGCACGTGTAGGTTGGGGTTGGAGGTGGCCGGTGATAGAAGGAGCAGGGGATCTTCTAGAGGAGAGGTACGTGTAGGTTGGGGTTGGAGAGGTGAGCGGGTGGATAGAAGGAGAATGGGGATCTTCTAGAGGAGGTACGTGTAGGTTGGGGGTTGGAGGTGGCCCGTGGATAGAAGGAGTGCAATGGATCTCTAGAGGAGGTAATGCAGGTTGAGGTTGGAGAGGAGCTGGTGGATAGAAAGAGGGGGTCCTGGAGGTGAGTGGTGAGACGTGATAGAAGGAGGGATCTTCTGGAGGAGGGGATCTTCTGGAGGAGGTGAGCGTGTAGGTGGGAGGTGAGGGGTGGGTAGTAGGAGTACAGGGAATTTCTAGACGAGGTAGGTGTAGTGGGGGGTGGGAGGTGAGGGGTGGGTAGTAGGAGAGTAGGGAATTTAGAGTAGGTAGGTGTGTAAGTGGGGGTTGGAGGTGAGGGTGGATAGTAGGAGGGAGACTTTTAGAAGGGGTAGGTGTAAATGGGGGTGGGAGGTGAGTGGTTGATAGGAGGAGTACAGGGGAAGGAAGTAGGTAGATGTAAGTGGGAGGGGAGGGGTGGGTAGTAGGAGGGAACTTTTAGAGGAGGTAGGTGGGTGTGGGGTGGGGGATGGGAGTAAATTGGGGTGGGTAGTAGGAGGGAACTTTTAGAAGGGGTAGGTGTAAATGGGGGTGGGAGGTGAGGGATGGGTAGTAGGAGGGAACTTTTAGAGGAGGTAGGTGTAGGTGGGGTGGGAGGGAGGTGAGGGTTGGGTAGTAGGAATACAGGGAACTTACACCCACACACAAATCATACACACCCGTAGATCCCCACAAAACCCAACTCTCACCAACAAATCCAACACTCGCTCACAAATCAAACACTCACCTGCAAATTCCACAATCTGTATCATATCTCATACAAAACTCACCCACTAATCCCACACACAGTCACAAATCAAACCGACACACAGAAAACCCATACAATTCCACTTTTCTACAAATGTAAGGGGTGAAAGTTTGTTACTATGTAATGACTCTATAAAGGATGTTGAGATCTTTATTTGAACAAAAGCATTCCAGGTTTCCACTTTTATCTTTGCAAGACTTTGTGTCAATTCCTTGATTCAATGAATAGTCTTCATATAATATATATAAGTTTTCTCACAATGTAGTAACCTTGGATATGATGGTGTACCATATATATTCATACAGGTTGAGGAACTTAGAGCCTCTGAGAGAAACCTCCGAGTTCGAGTCAAAAGTTTAACAAATGAGTTAGCTCTTTACAAGCGTGATCGTGCAAGAGGAACACAGAGGACATCCCGTCCCTCCACACGAGAACGGTCATCTTCCTACGATCGATACACACGAGAGCGGTCATTGTCCAATGACCGGTCCTACAACAGAGACAGGACGTACTCACAAGACAGACTGTTCGGCCGGCCTCGTTCCTCCTCCAGGGAGAGGCCATCCACCGCTCCAAACAGAAGCAGCCTCAGTGACAGATCCCCATCGACTAGAAAGAGTTATGTCCACACCAGGAGCCGAACACCATCTCCAGCAGGTATAGTTATTGTTGTCCTTCAACTTCCACAAGTCATTACTGTAATTTCTTGACCTAATGAGGCTAAGATATAACAGAATCTCAAGACAAGATAGTGTGTTTGTTACCCTGAGACCAGACCATGCTGCCTGTGAGCAGTTGTTAAGATGTAGTTTGATCCAGTCATGGGGCACCGGTGGCCCGAATGTGTTAAGGCACCTCAGTATACTTTACTTCCCTTGAGTACGAAAACTGTATGTTCGAACCCTGATTTACCCCATTTGTTTCTATATTTGTCAACGCTATACCCATGCTAATGGGTTTCACTAGAGTCGTCTATGTCTGAGACCAGAATCTCTGTCAACATTCCTTCCACCTTTAGCTGACATACTGTGACATATCTGGGATACTTGTCTAAGCAATGTTAAACCCTAGTTGCTGTCCTTGAGACATTCTTTTAGATGTTTAACAGGGGATATGACATTTGGGTTTCATGCTGCATCCTCCCGAAACACTCTCAAATGTCTGATATGATACTTAGGACAGGGAAATGAAATGGTAAGGTTTTAAGTGATCTCTCCACGTATGAGGTTGTAGTAGACATGCATTTCCTCAAACCTGTTAATAGTATCAGTGATGATACAGCAGGTCTTACAGTCAACATTTTGGTGGACAAACCAGTTAATATTTACAGTGTCACATTTCTTTGCACATGTCAAATTAATTTGATACTTTCAGGTGCACGCAACCCTCGCTTTGACCCCACAGCGTACATCAAGGAAAAACAGCGATTAAAGAGGGAATCTCACTTGAAAAAGTATGTAACATTGAATGGTTCATGTCAGCAAGATATTACTTCTACGTGCGTACATGCTACCCTTACAGGGGTGACTTTATGCCAGCATCCTTCCTAACAGTTTGCATTGTGGAAATTATATGTATTCATGGAAGCCAAGCATAGTCATATTCATAATCTTTAAATGTGTCTGTAGGAAGAGGCGAACAAGTGCTAACATATCTCGGACGTCCAACCGATCCACTGGTCCTTCGCCTGGCCGCACAAACACAAGTAGGCTTTCAGGTAAATTTCCAGTATGTCATCACTCTGGTATTTTACATTTGTTATGATTGTACAACAGCTATAGGTAAGTGCAGATATAGTACAGATGGTTCAATGGTTGGTTATATTGCTGATCACTGTAGAGAGTTGTGTCCCTTGTGTGTGACATAATCTGCTGTGGTTGCAAATCATCAGTTAACTCATTTTTGATGATTTCTCTGTCGTCACCTTGTTCATGCTCGTCAGTTGCTCGTCTGTTATATTTTAGATTATATTTTACCAAAATGACCTGGTGGTATAGTCTCAATAGTTCTTTAGTCCTTAAATTACTTCAGTTTTAACTGAACTTGATGTGTTCAGTTCAGCAACACAATTTTCTACAATGAGGTGTGTAAATAATAAATATTCAATGTATTTTCAGCTCAAAGTCGCAACAGATCAAGGAATTCATCCTGTGAGTACAATAATCATTCTGTTGTTGCAGTTATAAGTCAGTTCTTATTACTTTTGAATATGGAATGACACTTCATCCCCTCTGTCAACCATTTCAATGGTCTTGTGGATAAGGTGTCTGATCAGGGAGAGTAAGATCAACGGTTCAATCCATGGCAATGTCACCCTGTCTTGTATTTAACTTTAAGGGGATAAAACAGGGGCTGATTTTTCAGGATTACAGTCTGACTGGGAGACACATGGTAAATATGACAGTATTAAACCCGAGACCATACACAGAGGGACATGCCTCAGCAGCAGATTATCATTAACGATCACTGTCGCTCGCGGCAATGAGGGTTATAGGACATTGAGATGCCTGCTGTATTTCTCCTGGCAGTGGCCTCGTGATGCACGACACATGTGCAGATGCTCCTGTCTGAGGACTTGTAAACAGTTCTCTCCTGGATATGCCATTATTCTGTTACTTTAGGTGCAGTGTTTGCTTTCTGTATCTGCGATAACTGAAAGAATTATAACATCAAAATGTGTCGCACTTAGGTAAACAGCCAAACTACAACAAATAGGACTTGTAGTGACTGAAACTGTGTCATTTATGATGTGTCCATTCTCTGTCAACTAACTTTCGTATCAAAGCACCATTATCAGTAAAGTGATATTTCTCTCCTACCAGTGGGCAGTCAAGGAGACCTGAGTGATGGTGGGATGTCAGATTCCTCCTATAGAGGGCTGAGGTGGGTACATAGTGTGTCTGTTCCTTGATTGTGCAATGAAACCTTTTTACCATGTATGAAGTTACTCCTTTTCGAGACAAGAAAATGTGGTTGGGTAGCCTAATAGTTAGGCTATAGTTGTCACGCCGAAGGCCCGGGTTTGATTCCTCACATGGGTACAACGTGTGAAGCCCACTTTTGGTGTTCCCCGTCGCGACATTGCTGGAATATTGCTAAAAGTGGCATAAAACTAAACTCACTCAAGACAAGACCATAGTGTTGATAAATACTGCCAGTCACAGATATCCGTGTATGCATATGTATTGATATGCAACTGGGATACAAGGACAAGCATGAACCAAGTCTAACCACCTGTTACATAAAAACATGAGTGTTGGTAGCTGGGGACCAGGTTTAACCTGTATCTTCATGGGGGACCACAGTTTATGGTACATGGAGGAAGGACTGGCTTTCTGTTATGATAATTGCTAATTGTCATCACAGTCTGACAGCGTGTCACTGTATCAACTGTTTAGTGCATCTGTTGATTGTTGGACAGGCAGCACTGATACATGCTGGGATATTGGGAACTAGGGAATAGTAATCACCACAATGTGTCCACCTTTGCATGTCACAGGAGCAACAATGGTAAGTTAGTTCTCACCTGGGGAAATACTCACTCACCACAATGTGTCCACCTTTGCATGTCACAGGAGCAACAATGGTAAGTTAGTTCTCACCTGGGGAAATACTCACCACAATGTGTCCACCTTTACATATCACAGGAGCAACAATGGTAAGTTAGTTCTCACCTGGGGAAATACTCACTCACCACAATGTGTCCACCTTTACATGTCACAGGAGCAACAATGGTAAGTTAGTTCTCACCTGGGGAAATACTCACTCACCACAATGTGTCCACCTTTACATGTCACAGGAGCAACAATGGTAAGTTAGTTCTCACCTGGGGAAATACTCACTCACCACAATGTGTCCACCTTTACATGTCACAGGAGCAACAATGGTAAGTTAGTTCTCACCTGGGGAAATACTCACTCACCACAATGTGGACACCCAGAGGCTGATTCTACCCCAGGCGACAGAACCTTGTTGAAATTCTAGTATCTGTTCTCTTATGAGGAAAATCCAACCTCATGAGATAATCCAACCTCGTGTGACAGATCTCTTTGAAATTCTAGTAGCAGTTCCCAGTGTGTGTCATTTCTGTACTTGGATTTTCAGGAACTACAACAATAATTCCAAACAAAAGAGAACTTCGTTCCAAACCAGTCCTGGTGTGGTAAGTATAATGAGACTGTCCAACTTTCCCTAGTTTCAACTGTGTATCATCAGATGCAGCGTTTCATGTTGGGACAGTGGGCTATCCTGATGATATTGATATTGCGGGAATATTACTAAAATTGGCACAAAAACATACTCCCTCACTCACTAATTATGGTTAAATGAGAATTAGGACTGTTAAGGCATCCTGATGAATGTTTGTACATCTTCCTGTAAGTTAATGTGTTTTGTGTTTCAGCCAAGAAAGGATACAAGGAGAGCACCAGTCAATCAAAAAAAGAAAATATATCCTTTGTCCCATCTTGATGATACTGCCAAATATCCTGAGGAAAATATTTGATTCTGATTTGTCATTCAGAGGTTTCAAATGACAGTAACCAACCAACATAGAGTTTATAGCTGAATAACTCCTCAAGCTAATGTCAACAGAAAATTATGTTTCTCAATAGCTGTAATGCTGTGTTTGATACAGCATGTTTAAGATTTAAATGCAATACAAATTTCTAATAATACAGAAACATCAATACAGATATCAGTATAGATACATCAATCTACTAATATTGTAATAATCCTTGACTTGTTTACATTGGCCAGTACCCCTGACTCGGAGTCTGGGCGGAAGAGAGCTGTGAGGAACAAGGAGAACTACCCTGACAGTGGTGGGTGCAGCAGGGACAGTTGTCCACCTAAAAACTTAAACATCTAGATCGAATCCCGAAGTAGTTGTGGTGAGAGCTGTCTGAGGATTGGGTGGTTACATTAAGCTGATTGTGTGGCACTGTACCTAGGATATACCCAGGCCATCAATAACAGGTGTACTTGGTCCAGAGTTAGTTAATGCTGCTAACATGGAGCTGGAATATTGCTCACTGCTGCATGAAAACACATTCATTCACCAGCTACGATAACACTAGAGTTACTGTTTCAACCCTTAGGGTTGTACAAAATATGGCATGCCAACCCAAAATAGTTATCAGCCTATTAAATGACACATCAAACAAAATATGTACATGAGATTCATGTATTATCTTACTTCTCCTGTTTGTCACAGATGATGAGAGCGAGTATTTTGACAGATCAGCTGAGATCTGTGACATTGACGAACGATTAAACAGGCTCCAGCAGCTGATGAAGGCCAGCCTCTCATGATGCCAGATGTTATAGTTGACCCAGGTCTAGTTCATGTTCCCAAGTTCCAAACTGTCTAAAGTGTTCTGTACATTCCTGTGTTACCAAGTGTTAAGAATCTACAAGTATCATTGTGAAGTCAATAAATATAATGAAGTCAGAATTATTATCCATTGAAATTACTTTGTTGGATGATTGTTTTTAGGAGTGTCATTGAAATTTTAACATGAGTAACAGCATGTTCAACTCTCGTCCTGATTCAGCCATTTAAGTTTTAACTTAAGTTTTTAATTTAAGTTTACACTTGTTAAAATGTTTTACATGATATTGTAACACCTTAAAACACAAGTTGTATTGATCTAAAGTCACCACTAACAGTCATCTTATTATACAGGAATAATGTACCACTGCCAGTTTCATGAGAGTACATGTGCACTGGTGTAACAGTCATGATGAACAAGTGAATACAGTATTATTGAATTAGTAATGTACATACAGTTTAGTCTGTGACATATTTATGATGGTGGTTGCTCATTTGTATATAACTGTTTCTGTATAACTCTGTATTTAACCCGCGTGCTGCTCATGGCATTCTCATGTATGGATATTGAGTGTATGTATCGATCTTAGGAAGATCTTTTACTCTGGTACACTTCCTTTGCTGCAAATGAACATTCAGCATAGCAGCAATGTTAAGTAACAACAAACATATAGCTGCATGTTGGTGAGTATTCTGTATACAGTGTATTTAATGGACAACTGAATGCCCTGCACTAAGCAAAATTAGTTCCTATCCTGAAAATTTCCAATGTCCAACACAGAGAAATATTTTTGGAAGCACAAGACTACTCCAGATGAGAGAAAACTGTAATCCACTGTGCTGCCATGAACAAGATATCATCAGTGAGAAGCTCAAGGATGCTGACATGGGAGTTCTAGTATTTCATGTTTTCGCAACTAGAGGTCTCCTGTCACTAATGTGCGAGAAGGAATGTAGTCAGAAGCAGGTTATTGAATCATGGGAGCAATTTGTACAGTGTAAATACAACATTAAATAAATTAAGATAGATGCCTCTTGTTGTTTTTCTGACAGGATATGTTATGTATGTCAGAATCCTTTAAAGGGACAGTGATGTGCTGTGGAACCTTTTGGTTCCAGTTGATGCCTATATAGACCCAGATCCCAACAAGGGGCTTGGTTGAGTGGGGCTAACCATATATTGAGTTAGGAGGAAAACAGGATGACAAAAATGTTCATATAAATACAACTTAAACATTTCCTTTTAGTACTTCCATGTCTTGAACACAAATAGGTTTCAAGGGTACAGGTGAACACACGGTAGGTAAACGTACAATCGGAGCCATGTGCACAAAGTGGGCTACAAAGTTCGCTTGTTTGGGTATGCCTGTCAGCAGTCTGATGTCCCATCATAGTCAGTATATGCCTGCTAAGATACATTAGTAAAACCATCTAGAATGTTTCGGCTGAATATATTGCGTAGATCAGTGCTCATGTGGTTGACACTGGATTGTCTGGTCCAGACTGGATTATTTACAGAACGCCATCATACAGCTGGAACATTGCTGAGTGCGGAGTTAAACAACAAACAAATCAAAATCACAGGTTAATGTGCATGCTAGTCAGGAGACTAATGGGATTGGACTTGGAACATCCCAGTACATATGAATTACTCCATTGTAGATCACAGGATCATCTGGTCCATCACAGGATCATCTGGTCCAGACATGATGCAAGAGTGAAGCATTAATATTCATAGTCCTACCATCCTCCTTGTGAAAAGGTTAACTAAGGTACATAGATGCTATAGCTGACAATGATAATAAAACTGGGATCATGGTTTTCAGATTTGGGCTGGGATTCTATTCTTCAATGGACAAAATTGCTAGTATAAGGAATAAAATGCATGAGGGACATAGTAACCACATACTGCATGAGGAATCCATCTCTTATAAACCATGACAAGCACAGTGTCCACTGTAGATTGTTATATTTATTTTCACAAGAGAAGAAAAAAAAATTAACAATAGATATAAATACAATAAAACATGCAATTCAAGTTTGATATCCGGTACTCATTTCTATTTTCACAATTGATTACATGTCACAGAATTAATCTTTATTCTTCCTGCATGTACTCTTGATATGAACATGATAAAATTACACTGTACTTATTTATGTACATTATCATTCCTAACATCCATAACCTTTGGTCATGAATATCTAATATGCACCATGTGACTATCAACATTATCTTGCGTCAGACAAAGCAATTTGTAATTGGAACATACCTTTTGAAATATGTTAAGCCTTTCAAGTTCAAGGGTAATATAACAAGTTTAAGATGCCTTAGAAGGCAAGCTGTGATAATTGTTTCTTTGGCAAATCCAAAGATGTCTGTACAGGGAGAACCATGTTGGCACTGTACACTCTCCAGAAGAGTTATTGACTAAGGAACATCCATATAATATTGTGCAGAAAACATGCATCACTGGTAGCGAAATCACATGTATTGTCTTTGCATTGGCGTTACAGCACGTCAAGCATCATCTAGTTGCTAATCCACACATATGGAGAGTCTGTTTTCCCCACATGTCGGACAGATAGCCATACACACACACACAACAAATCTTTCATGATCCTGGCGTTGGCGTCCCCAGATCTGTGTTAGCGTGTGGTGTTATACAGCAGCAAGCATTGTGTCTACATCAAGCCAGATGGAATCGGTCGGTACTAGATGAGGGTTGGTACTAATCAAGATGACGAAGAAACGGCCAGCTTCTTCAGGTGATCCATGAACACTTGCAGACTCACGTCGTCGGTCAGTACAGGCGCACCGCCATCCTGCAACAAACAGATGCATTGTAATGAACTTGAAATGCATTCAAATTGAACAAATGTTCGAATTTTCATTAAACCAAAATAAGAAAAAAACTCAGTTTTGAATTATATGAGAAAAATGAGATCTGAATTAATCAGATAGTGAGTGAATGTTTTAGAGACAATAAACAAGTACATATATAAAATATTAAGGCATGAACTATCAGATACTACATAGTTAGATGACTACTGTGAAGATGTTTCAGGAGATACTGGCATAATGTGATACATTCTCATATTGGGAGTTCCTCAATGTGAGTAACAAAGAACAATTCATTTTAAAAAAAACCCAAAAACCTTGATACAGGCATACTCTGCTGTTAGATCTGTTCTTAATAAGAATACTTCAGATGGGTTAATGGAGTACTGAGATGGCCTTGATGACAGAAATCACAGGGACAGACAATGGAATGAAGGAGGGACACAGAGACAGACAATGACAATCATCTCAGGGTGTGTAGTCAACAAGCAATATCATATATCATAGAAAATGTCATCACATGCAGATGATGAAGGGGTATAATTTAGACTTTAAAAATGTCTTATGCAGTTGTTTCTTAAAAATGTGTGGACACCCGGTAAGACATCTGCGTGTGATAACCTCTATTAGGACAACCTCCATGTACAGGTACCAAATCCTCCTAACCCAAAACCACAAGCACAACCTTCTTTGAGTAATGATACTAAAACTGTGCCAACAAGAATCCCTCAATTGCTGTTGCAGAGCAGCGTTCAGATTTCAGGTACAGAAGTGTTTGTGACAATGTTGCCCTCATTCGAGCAATTCTTCCACCTACAGCTTGTGAAGTATGTAGGGTGATAACAATGACTTCATACATGAGTGACCACAATACCACCAAACACTTCCTTACTGTCTCGGGTGTGTCATGTGTATCTCAGGCTTTGAGATTGTGCACAGGCCAATTTGGTTTCTTGTTACTATCTGTATTGATGAGCACACTCGAAACAGTGTAAATGAAATAATGGTAATAATATTTGATGGTTTGAGGTTTTAAAGCTGCAGTAAGAAATATTCCATTCACAGAATTACTGACGCCCTCATCCTGCATAAGTCTCTAATTAGAAGCTTTAGAAACCAGTGGATCCTATCTCAACTAGTACCAATGGTACCAAAAGGTAACGTTTAAAAGCAACATAATTTTTCATTACAATTTTGCAACTCTCAACAAAATTTGTATTAAATTGATGTTGAAATAATTTCAATTTTTTTTAGGAAATCAACATAAAATAAACACAAGGATTTAAGCTTTGAAAAAACACAAGAAACTAAATTGGCAAGTGCAATATCTGTTGAATAATTATAATCATAGTCTGAGTAAAATATAAGTAGCTCAGGCAACATTGCTCAATCTGGCACAGTTTTTAAAGAATCATTCCACAAAGCCTCCTCCCATCATGGACAGACTAAGTAACTGTGGGTCCGCTCCCCAAGGTGTGACGGAGCATACTACCTCTGGGCCCCCAGTTGTGATGACCTAGACAGCAGAGTGAAGGTGAAGGTCAAACTCATCAATGCTACAAATGTAGGGCTATGCAACTCATGCAACAAAAGCTCATGCTAACAGCCTACATCATTCACTTAGGGAGATCAGTCTAGTGGACAACATCATTATTTCATAACACACATCAACACAGCTACAAATAATGCTAGGTAACATTCTACATGTGTACAAGTAAATGTTTGGTGCAAAATGTGTTCCTAACAAACAAACATGGTTTCTTCAAAATAATTAAGGTTCCTCAACTTTGAAGCAAGAGCATCTTGGCATACAGCATTCAAGATTCAAGTCATGACTCAGAACTGAACAAACAATTGTGTCAAATGTTATCAAAATTTAACCGAAAAAAGATTGGCCTTAGATCTTCAATAGAGAATGTGATGTGCAGCTCTGTTACAAATATCAAGAAGTCTGTAGCAAAAACGTTTGTTATAAGTGAATAATATTTCTGAATATGAAACTGAATTTGTATAGTTCAGGCCAATCTTTTTACGGTGCTGCCACTGCACACTGTTAAAGTTATCATGCCAGTTTCAACAACCACGTTAGTTTCACACTGCACATGACAAGTGGTTCACATGACAACCAAGACATAAAAATGACAGTGTTTACACACCCCTGTTGATGGCTGAAAGTAGATGTACGATTCCAGGTTTATTGGAGTTACAAAGTAGATATCTCATCTATCATTTGAATTATTCAAGTTTTATCCAAAACTGATTTCTGAATCCAAATAATCAACAAGATGATTTAGGCATTAGTGAGTCATCTCAAAGTGACAAGCTTATGTTATTATTTCACAATGACATGATGATAAAATGTAAAACACAAGTATATTAAAAAAACATAAAAATAAATGAATTTTACCCCCATCAAAACACATGAGTCCTATACTACAGGATGCAAAAACCAAATTTCATTCATTAACACTACACACATTTGTGAAATGTACTAAGTATTACGGCAACAATTCAACATCATGCTGATGTTCAAACTATGAGAGGTAACTGCTATGAAGCGTACCTGTCCCCATCCGTATGCATTATTGTGTGTCTGTGATGGGTTCACCTTGGACAGCAAGAACCGAGCCTGAAACAAGTAGTGGGCAGTTCATGTTACATTACATGTTAATTATACTGAGACTATCAACACTCTTTCACATTCTAAATATGTGGTGTTTGATACCAATTACAAATGTTCCATCCCTAGGTACCATGGTACATGCATCTTGGAAGAAAGCACTGCTACATCAGTAGGCAGACTTATATTGTAAGGTTAGCAAATGATGGTTACAAAGTTGTTGAAGTTTGTATGACAATACATCTTTCGTAAAAAACACACTGTAGATTGTAAGTTAAGAAACAGAGTTTCACATAAAACATTAGACAATATTTCCTGTTGATATAAGAGTAACTGGTCACTGACCTGTGAACCCTGGGACTCGGTGACAATGTATCTTGGCATGGGGAACCTGGTCTGTAGAATCTCCTGGGCGTCATCCACTGGTGCCTGCATCAGCTGTTTAAAGTTTTCGTACTCTGGTAGGTCGTGGTAGCCCTGCTTCTTCCACTGGTCAATTGTCTGATGCAGATAGAGAGTTGTCGTTATTAATATATATTCTCCAGTTGAGAATCACCCCATAACATTGGTGAACAGCAGTTAGTGTGATATTGCTTACCCTGCACCTGTGTAGTTAAATAATCAACACAAGCTACACAACAAGAAGTCATCTACTTCACAAAGAATGTGCCCTAGTAAATATTTGTCAGTCTGGGCACACCCTTTACTCAATAATTCAACATTGGTCAGTATCTCTCTTGTTCTATGGCAACACAAATGATCATAGATAAGTTGGAATTAGATCTAATGACATGCAAAAATGAGTCAGTCACATACAGATTGTAAACAAAGGGGAATAACTCCTTTATCCATGAGCTTCATATTGGACTTGCTCACCTCTCCATGGTATATAACTATCTGGAAGAATGTGTCCATCAGGAGTATTCTGTCTGGCTGTATACTGCTGGTGTCAAGGAGCACCGGCTGAAACAAACACACACATCCCATTACATTCCTACCATACACGTTAGTCAACACATTTTCAAACACACACAGACTGAAATGATTGAAAACACAACTGTAGTTCCAGAATCTTACTTTTAACAATTGTTTTTGATAACAAAAAGATGATACAGGACACAGATACAAATGTAAACAGGAAGACAAAATCTGCTGTTGATTGTTTACCAGTGAGTCAGTCCTAAATGTTGCCAAGCCTCAGATATATATTTAAAGAAACACTTTCCACCAAGACTTTCTCGTTTGTGGCAGTGGAGTAGCCTAATGGTTAAACCATACGCTCATCATGGTGAAGACCTGGGTTCAATTCCCCACATGGGTACAATGTGTAAAGTCCATTTCTGGTGTTCCCCACCATGATATTGCTGGAATATTACTAAAAGTGGCATAAAACCATACTCACTCACTCGTTTAACTTATAAATCTAAAACATTTAATCACTAAAAGAAAACAAGTAACTAATTCATCAAGAACATTACTGAAGGTATGAATTATTTTAAATGCCTGTACCTCTGGCGGTCCTGTGAAGGAGTAGGCGTACAGTATAGGCTGGATCATGATGAGTGACTGCGTCAAGTCTTCCACATTCAACATGTGTCTGGAAAATACCACAATAGACAAATAATCTTCCACTTCAACTTGGACCCTTGCTACTTCAATAAGCTCACACGTGTAAATAGTCAAAATATCTGACATAAATGAAAAGGCTTTTCTACTTCCATCATATTTAAATGCAAATTATACCTTGAAGTATTATCATGATTAAATATTGAAACCTGAGCCTTTTCTTTGCTTATCTATTTTACCCACATGACCACACAATCCAGTGATCAATCAATGTTGTGGACAGCAATCCATGTTATATCACAGTACAAGAACATGCTCTCAGCCAAATCACGGTTTCTGATCGTGTGATTAATTGATCAATTGCTTATATCATCATCATCATCATCATCATCATCATCATCATCTGTACCTGTAATATGATGTCTCATCTGGACTGTTGTTAAAGACCTGAAGGAACTGTGATCGTCTAAGGTGGAACATAAACTGAGGGTAAAGTGAGAAATTCTCCGAGAACCGGAATGAGTTTGGGTCTTCTTTGTGGTAATCTCCAAACTTTTGACACTGCAACACAAAAATAACACCTTACACATCTCATATATAATGACAAACCTTATTAACAGGTCATAACCCTAAAAACAAAATGAACTGGTCCATTATCATTCATAGGATGTACAAACTATCAGAATGTCAATACACTCCGTCTCAACATAATATCTAATACATCAGCAGAACAATGAAGTAAGAGCTCCACATGACACCTTCTTGGCTGGGGTGTTGACTAACATTCGACTTGATCATCAACTTACTAATCTAATAAGCATCCTATCCAGCCACCGTAGAACATCGGGGCCGTCATCGGTCTCAGCTCTGTACACGGCTATCCTCCCCATCAGCACTGCAGCAGCTTCCTGGTCGAACCCTGCAGCTATGTGCTGGATGTTGGTGCTGGCATCAGCCCAGCTGGAACACACAAAGCAAGATGTTAAAATGAGTGACTGATGTTTAATAAGGCTGTCAGCTACATCCCAGCAGTCTGTAAAAACTGAACCTGACATACCAGTGGCAGATATCATAATGTTCCATGCTATTGCAGTTTGATGTTAAAACATAAAAATTGTGGGAAGCAATGGATCCATAGTCTCTGAGGGTGACCACTGATCACCTGATGTATCAAAGTCACCTTTTACAACACATTTATGCATCAGTGAGACCAATTTACGAAGAAATCCACATAGGACAACACACTAAAATCACTGTGGGCATGGGAAGCCCTGTAAACATATGAAAAAGGTTTGAGAGAGAAGCTCTTACTTCCTAGCTGTTGTGGTAACCCGGATCCGTCTCTGGCCACTTGAGTGTTGATACTGTGTGATGAACTGTATATAGCCTCGACCTCCTTGTGGTATAGGAGCATTGTGCTGGAACACAGACACATGACACAGTCAGCTGTAGGTACAATTGATCATAATGGCATAAAACCCAACAAGTAACATGTATTTCCAAACAGTAACATGTCTAACAAAATATATTTTGTCTTTTAATCCATTTACTGTAGTAAAATAATCATCTCATTTTTCAGGGTAATACTTTCTTGTGAACAGTTTACAAAAGTTTGAGTGCCCTTTCTGAAGAAATATATCAACAGATCACCGCAATAAGTACTGCATTCTGAGTGGTAGACATTCTTGATTTACATATCACACAGGATTATGATGATTATGATGAAATGAGTAGCCCATGATGAACACACAGCTGAACACAATTACTGCTTACCTGATTGACCACTTCAAAGAACAAACTGAGGGTACTGTTGGGGTAAACCCCACACATCTTCCACTGACACGTCCCCACAAGGCCTATCTCTGTGTCGGACACTGACGGTCCTTTCACCGCCAAAGACACACATGGACCAATAGTACCGGACACCTTCAACTCACGAGACGTCTGAAATCAACATGTACAAATATTTATACCACACAGAAAACCTTAAACTGCAATGTGTGAGGTAAATATTCATGCTTTATATAAATATAATCAGTATGTAAACAGGTCTGGACCAGCTAGAGGCAGGGGCATAACAATATCCTAATACGACAAGAATTCAGCCATTCATGTGATGTGATGACAACCATCCAGTCCATCAGGGTATGACAACAATCCAGTCCATCAGGGTATGACAACAATCCAGTCCATCAGGGCATGACAACAATCCAGTCCATCAGGGTATGACAACCATCCAGTCCATCAGGGCATGACAACAATCCAGTCCATCAGGGGTATGACAACAATCCAGTCCATCAGGGCATGACAACCATCCAGTCCATCGGGGTATGACAACAATCCAGTCCATCGGGTATGACAACAATCCAGTCCATCAGGGCATGACAACCATCCAGTCCATCGGGTATGACAACCATCCAGTCCATCAGGGTATGACAACAATCCAGTCCATCAGGGTATGACAACAATCCAGTCCATCAGGGTATGACAACAATCCAGTCCATCAGGGCATGACAACCATCCAGTCCATCAGGGTGATGACAACCATCCAGCCCATCAACAACCATCCAGTCCATCAGGGTATGACAACAATCCAGTCCATCAGGGTATGACAACCATCCAGTCCATCGGGGTATGACAACAATCCAGTCCATCAGGGTATGACAACCATCCAGTCCATCAGGGTATGACAACCATCCACTCCATCAGGGTATGACAACCATCCACTCCATCAGGGTATGACAACCATCCACTCCATCAGGGTATGACAACCATCCACTCCATCGGGTATGACAACCATCCAGTCCATCGGGGGTATGACAACCATCCAGCCCATGGGGTATGACAACCATCCACTCCATCAGGGTATGACAACAATCCCATCTCCATCAGGGTATGACAACCATCCACTCCATCTGGGTATGACAACAATCCAGCCCATGGGGTATGACAACCATCCAGTCCATCAGGGGTATGATAACAATCCACTCCATCAGGGTATGAAAAACAATCATCCACTCCATCAGGGTATGACAACCATCCACTCCATCGGGTATGAAAACAATCCAGCCCATTGGGGTATGACAACCATCAAGCCCATCAGAGTATGACAAAGCCATCAAGCCCATCAGAGTATGACAACAATCCACTCCATCAGGGTATGACAACCATCCAGTCCATTGGGATACGACAACAATCCAGTCCATCGGGTATGACAACAATCCAGACCATTGGGATATGACAACAATCCAGTCTATCGGGTACAACAACAATCCAGTCCATCAGGGTAATCCACTCGACAACCATCCACTCCATCAGGGTATGACAACCATCCAGTCCATCAGGGTATGACAACAATCCAGTCCATCAGGGTATGACAACAATCCAGTCCATCAGGGTATGACAACAATCCAGTCCAGGGTATGACAACCATCCAGTCCATCAGGATATGACAACAATCCAGTCCATCAGGGTATGACAACCATCCACTCCATCAGGGTATGACAAAACAATCCAGTCCATCCAGGTATGTATGACAACAATCCAGCCCATCAGGGTATGACAACAATCCAGTCCATCAGGGTATGACAACAATCCAGTCCATCAGGGTATGACAACAATCCAGCCCATGGGGTATGACAACAATCCAGCCCATCGGGTATGACAACAATCCAGCCCATGGGGGTATGACAACAATCCACCATCAGGGGTATGACAACAATCCAGTCCATCAGGGCATGACAACCATCCAGTCCATCGGGTATGACAACCATCCAGCCCATGGGGTATGACAACCATCCAGTCCATCAGGGTATGACAACAATCCAGTCCATCAGGGTATGACAACCATCCAGTCCATCAGGGTATGACAACAATCCAGTCCATCAGGGTATGACAACAATCCAGCCCATGGGGAGTATGACAACAATCCAGCCCATCGGGTATGACAACAATCCAGCCCATGGGGGTATGACAACAATCCACTCCATCAGGGTATGACAACAATCCAGTCCATCAGGGTCCATCAGGGTATGACAACCATCCAGTCCATCGGGTATGACAACCATCCAGCCCATGGGGTATGACAACCATCCAGTCCATCAGGGTATGACAACAATACAGTCCATCAGGGTATGACAACCATCCAGCCCATCGGGACACAACAATCCAGTCCATCAGGGTATGACAACCATCCAGCCCATCCAGGGGGGTATGACAACCATCCACTCCATCAGGGGTATGACAACCATCCACTCCATCAGGGTATGACAACCGGCCCACTCCATCAGGGTATGACAACCATCCACTCCATCGGGTATGACAACCATCCACTCCATCGGGTATGACAACCATCCAGCCCATCAGGGGTATGACAACCATCCACTCCATCAGGGTATGACAACAATCCACTCCATCAGGGTATGACAACCATCCACTCCATCAGGGTATGACAACAATCCAGCCCATGGGGTATGACAACCATCCAGTCCATCAGGGTATGATAACAATCCACTCCATCAGGGTATGAAAAACAATCCACTCCATCAGGGTATGACAACCATCCACTCCATCGGGTATGAAAACAATCCAGCCCATGGGGTATGAAAACAATCCAGCCCATGGGGGTATGACAACCATCCAGCCCATGGGGGTATGACAACCGGCCCACTCGATCAGGGTATGACAACCATCCACTCCATCGGGTATGACAACCATCCAGCCCATTGGGGTATGACAACCATCAAGCCCATCAGAGTATGACAACCATCAAGCCCATCAGAGTATGACAACAATCCACTCATCAGGGGTATGACAACCATCCAGTCCATTGGGATAATGACAACAATCCAGTCCATCGGGTATGACAACAATCCAGACCATTGGGATATGACAACAATCCAGTCTATCGGGTACAACAACAATCCAGTCCATCAGGGTGCGACAACCATCCACTCCATCAGGGTACTTGACAACCATCCAGTCCATCAGGGTATGACAACAATCCAGTCCATCAGGGTATGACAACAATCCAGTCCAGGGTATGACAACCATCCAGTCCATCAGGGTATGACAACAATCCAGTCCATCAGGGTATGACAACCATCCACTCCATCAGGGTATGACAACAATCCAGTCCATCAGGGTATGACAACAATCCAGCCCATCAGGGTATGACAACAATCCAGTCCATCAGGGTATGACAACAATCCACTCCATCAGGGTATGACAACAATCCAGCCCATGGGGTATGACAACCATCCACTCCATCAGGGTATGACAACAATCCAGTCCATCAGGGTATGACAACCATCCAGTCCATCAGGGTATGACAACCATCCAGCCCATCAGGGTATGACAACCATCCACTCCATCAGGGTATGACAACAATCCAGCCCATGGGGGTATGACAACAATCCAGTCCATCAGGGTATGACAACCATCCAGCCCATCAGGGTATGACAACCATCCAGCCCATCAGGGTATGACAACAATCCAGTCCATCAGGGTATGACAACAATCCAGTCCATCAGGGTATGACAACCATCCAGCCCATCAGGGTATGACAACAATCATGCTCCACATCAAAGTCAACCCTGATGATAAGCACAGTGTGATGTGGAACTCTCCAGAGCCCAAAGTGAACCATGTTACTGCCACATCAGTGGTCTTTAGTCTGTTGGATTTTGGGAGCTACACTCACCATGGCACTAAGATCACTTTGGGCAAGTGGGCCCTGAGCTACATTCCACTACAAGCTTATTAGAAACAATACATTTCCACCCGAGTGAATTTGTGACTTACTTTAATTTCTACAGTTGCACCAAATGCCATCTTGAATTCCCCCTTCATGTCCTTGGCAAACACTCTCTGGAAGGTCTGTTTGAACAGAGACGTGTTGAACGAGTCTCCCATCACCATGTGTCCACTGAAGAAAAGGATTTGGTAAACATGAATAACTCTAATTCAAACAAAGTCCAAAGTTCATTCAAAGTTCAGAGACAGTTTGCAGAGAAAGTAGCTACCGATTTCCACATGATGCACAACTTATTCAAAGTTGTACAGCATCATAGTCATAATGCATTTGTCCTAAACATATAGGACCTAGTTCAGATACTACATGAACAAAACTTGTCACTCATATGTTTACGTTGATGAGGAGTTTCAAATGGGTAGACTGCAAGAGAGAGCACCCAGTTGATCCACCGTTAGTAGCCAAGGGAAGAAGATAGTTCATGAAAATGGTTGATATTTTATTGAAACCCCAATTGTATATATCTGGATATATGGTTCTTACCCAGTATATTTAGGACAGAACTTCATCTCATGCAGTCCTGTTTGATCCAGAGCACAGGAATACAAATCTATCACATGGCCATTTGTTGCAGCCCGATTGGAGAGGCTTTCGTAGTGCTGGAAGAAGGAGTTTATGTATGTGATAGATCTATGGTCACAGCAGAGTTGACAATGTGTTACCAGGTCACTGTGGTTATAATGTGTGCCATGCCCTAATTATTCATCCTCGATAATCTCCAGGGTATATGTTCCCGATAAATCTCCACTATACCCTGGATGCATCTATGGCTTTCAGAGTACCTCTGCATCAATTGTGATGACAAGTTTAATCGGATAGATAGTTTAAGAAGCGAAAGTGAGTTGTGATTTCTATGCTCAACTTCAAAGCAGACACCTGAATGGATAAAAAGCCAGCAAAGGGAGGTAATAAAATCATCAGGCCAAGCCGTAGATGCATCCAGGGTGTAGTGGAGCTTTTTCGGAACATATACTCTGCAGATTATCGAGGATGTGATTATTAAGCAGTGTCAGAAAATATATATGTTTCAGTTCAAGTCAATAATATCTCACTGTGTTTGACAGGCATAAAATTTCCACTATACAATCATTCGCCCAATCAATATGTCTTCACATTGATTTTTCATAAATACTGAAAAGTGTACATTTTGCACATAGAGAATACTCTCTATCTGATGAAAGATTTTACACTTGGCATGGACTGACAATGACCCAAAGTGTACACCATGGGAATCATTATGTTTATCAATGGCATTTAACTTGAGTGTCAAAACTCTTGACTAAACGTTATCAGATCACCAGGGTGCCTGGTGCATAACCTCACCTTCATGGCTTTCTTCATATACTTGCAGTTGTCCTTCTCTATGTCATGATGGGACCTGATGGGGTGCTTCAGCTCATCCCCTACCACCATCCCTGGACCCTGGGTACATGCCCCACCCACAAACAGCATCACACGTGCTCCAGTGTTGGGGAATGTGCACTGCAAATACATTGGTGGGATAATCAGACTGGGTGTCGAGTAAACATTCTCAACTGGAACTGAAAACAATAAACTACACAATGTAAGCAGAATGGGTCAAATCAAAAGCTAAATGAAACCTTTTTCTTTAATTTTTTCATAGGAATAGAAAAATAGAAATGTAAAAAAACTGCAACGGTAAAAATAGTTCAGTGACATACTCTCTACTCATTTCTCACCTCTAGAAGCCCCACAGCGATGGACAGGGCTGCACCAGTTGACCGGAGAGGTCGTTTGCCCTGACTGACCGGCCATGGGTCACGCTGTAGTTCTCCCAACAGGTCAGTGAGACTCATGTCACACTTGTGCACTGGCTGCAGAAACCTGGACAGGACATTCTTATGTCATTACAGAAACATTGGTAAATACAAAGAACACCTGTTATCAGCTACAGAAGGGGAAATTGTGATCCAAGCCAGGCTTTTAGTATTAATGTTGATATATATTACATAGATCGGACAGTCAAAGAAATACAAGAAAAATATAAAAAGTGACATCTGTACTATTTCTGAAATGTGTTATTTTCCCCATGATAGTATATGTTACTGAAATGTTAGATCCCTGTATGTCCAAAAGTGTTCAGTGCAGTACTGGATGTAGAGTGTCTTCATGTATACTGCACCTGTTCATGGGCAGCTGGTACTGCTGATTCATGCCCTGGGAGCCCCTCTGCTGGGGCTGAGCAGCTGCACGACCAATACCAAGCATTTCCTGAAACACAAAGTCAAGTTAATAAAGGGAAATCATTTAAATCAAATAGTGCACGGTCCATTCTTCAGAAGAGATCCTCAGTGACTACAATATGAGGGAATACAATCGGATCTGAACACTTCATTTGATGTTTCCTGATAACAGTAAACCACTTCTTCAGTCACTGATACCGGACACATAAAAAATATAACTTTTCCTTTCTGAGAATTATTGGGCATCTTGGCCATTCTAGCTTGAAGTTATAGGCTCACCTGTATCTGTTTAGCAGTGAGGTCCTTGTTTCCCCTGAACACATAGCTCTTTGAAACCCCCTCACTGCCAAGCTCATGAACCTGGACCATCTTGCCAAATGTGATGAGTCCGATGAGGGCGTTGGGAGGAAGTAAACTGAGAGACATCTGCAGGGACTCCTGGGAAACACAAAATCTTGACATCAACACAAACGCCATACATACATCAGGTGGGTTTGAGAAATGTGTGGATGAGTGTGATGAGGGGGTGAGAGTGAGAGGGGGGTGGGAGTTGAGAGGTGGGAGAGGGATGAGAGTAAGAGGGTGGGGGTGGACAGTAATGGGGTGATGAATGTGATGAGAGTGAGAGAGGGTGGGGGTTGAGAGTAATGGGGGTAGGGGTGGTGAATGTGATGAGGTGGTGAATGATGATGAGGGATGAGAGTGAGAGGGGGTGGGGGTTGAGAGTAATAGGGGTGGGGGTGGTGAATGTGATGAGGGGGGTGAGGAGTGAGAGGGGGTGGGGGTGAGAGTAATGGGGTGGGTGGGGTGAATGTGATGAGGGGGTGAGAGTGATGAGGGGTGGTTGAGAGTAATGGGGGTGGGGGTGGTGAATGTGATGGGGGTGAGAGTAATGAGGAGTTGAGAATGGTTGATAGGTGGGTGGGTGTTGAGTGAGTATGGTGAGGGGGTGAGAGTGACAAGGAGGTGGTGGGGGTGGTAATGAATGTGATGACGGGGTGAGAGTGATGATGAGGTGGTGGTAGTGGTAATGAATGTGATGATGGGGCAAGAGTGATGAAGGGGTATGTGTAAAGAGGCTGTGAGAGTGATGAGGGGGTGAGTGTGATGAAGGGGTGAGAGTAATGAGGAGCTGAGTATGGTGGGTGGGTGGGGGGTCACTGAGTATGGTGGGTGAGAGTGATGAGGAGGTGTTGTTGGTGGTTATGAATGTGATGAGGGAGGGTGAATATGATAAGGGGTGAGTGTGTAAAGGGGATGAATGTGATGAGAGGGTGAGCGTTTACCTTGAGAGCCTGTAGGTCCTCCTCCTCCATACAGGTGTCCAGCACTATCAGGTAGATGGGAGGGTGGCATGTTGCACGCTGGAACAATCAAACCCTTGGTATTACATGTCGAGGTGGTGTTATTACTATTAGTGACACCACTAACAATTTGCTAATCATTTTCTATATGTTATTTCCAGAAAGCATGATGATGACCCTGAGATACTTTGAGATGTTGAACATGTGGATACTGATTATAGTCTTGCCAGGTACCATGGAGACAGATGGGTAGTCAAGTTGTAAAACATACACTTGATATTTTTTCCGTTTTGGGGGGTTGGGTGGAGAAAATTACTACTGTTTATGTAAGAATGGTGTTCAAGAAGAAAATATTAAAAGCATCATCATGTTTGAAAATATTGCTACTCAATAAGTACTCACATTGATTGTGTACTCTATAGTAGAGAACTGAGGAATGATCTCGGCGGGCTGGTGGGCCTCCGATATGGCTGCATACTGCTGGGGAAACTGTACAACAAGCAATACATTGTTACATTGCTAATCTTTAGGACCATCCATGTTTGCAGCGCTTGAAGTTGAAAGGTACATGAGAAAGTGTTTTTAAACTGCACCCTGCGACACTGCCACTACATGATGCCAAAATGTATCAGTTTAAACAACATTCCACTTTGAAGTGAAAACTGTACATTAGCATAGCAACAGACATGAAAAGTTCAATAGATTTCTAAAAATACACAAGAAGAGTTAAGCCACTTTAACCTAGTTACCATGGTAAATTAGTTTTACTCTTACCGGATTCCTCTGATAACAGAAATTGCAGGACCATACTTTAGCTCGGTAGTCAATTTGGCTGAAAGTGGAAAAGCATTCTGTCGTAGCACTAGCCCACAAGTAAGGTCGTATTTGGCTAATGTTAAAGATATCACAAGTCCTAGTATAATCTGAAACGGTTTAGGGGATGTACAATACTGTTCATAATATAATATTTTGGTCAGTAGATTATTTAATGCCCATCCCTTATAAAACTCAGCACCTTGAGCATGTACTAGTTGCATGGATATGTGTGCTATATAAATATCCTATAATAAATAAATAATAAAATATAAAGCATGACAAACATGGCTAGAGGACACTGCTACTTTTAGCTAACGGGAAATACTAGAGAATCTGCATAAGTTGGTTGTTTCAAAGTTTCTGTTATTATTCCAGTGTTTTGTTTCACCAACATAGATTGAAATGTAGAAAATCTACCACTAATGGTTACCATGGCAACAGATGTGAAGTTATTATATTACCAAAACAACCATTTGGGTTGGCATATCATCACATATATTGTATTGCAATGAGTAGTTTTTTGTCACACACATTATAATTTACATGATCATACACAAATTCTTCCAAGACTATTGAAATATTGATATAAGGAGATCATATTATAATATGTGTACATACAATTGTTGAATGACTGTAGTATGACAATATTCTGGTACATGTACATGTGACCAACAATCATGAATGATGATGCACAACAAGAAGACATGAAAATTACAAATTTCTGCAAATCATATATGATATATGTCTGATTGATCAGATATAAACCCTAAATGTATACATTGCATCACACTTAAACAGTGACAAGACTTACCAATAAGGGTTCAAGATTGCCCTGCATGTTGGTCGTGTACACAACACTGGGTCATACTGAATGGGAGGGAGATCGGGTCTCTCCTTCAGCGGTGTGAACAAACAACCCAGGGGTACAACCATCCTGGTCGCCTCTAGCCGACTGGATGGCCACACGTTCCAGCTGAATCGCACTCCATCGCGGTCTTCATTTTGTTGAATAAATTCTTGGTAGGTAGCCATGGCCTGGCTGTAAACAAACAAACAAGATGTAAAGTTGTATCAATTTTCGCAGGTTGAGTCTATTTGAATTACATACAGTAAATCATTGCAATGGTTATTATAACAATGATGATTTATGATGACAGAGTAATATGATGTTAATAAAAAATTATGATCTCAGCATGACAAACTGTGATCAGTGAGCATAAGCATGATTAGTGGGTGGTCTCACTATGATCTTATCAACATGTGGTCTCATTTTGACTTCAGTGACACACTTAGCTAACAGTTTCACAAGAAATTTATTGTATAACTAAAAAAATAGTTCTGGCAACTGAACTTACAAACATACAAATATCCATAAGACCAGTTAAATGATACAATGTCTCTGAATAAGCACAGTATAGTTCCAACCATTGTGTACTGACAGTCAAAATATCAGGATTTTCTGAGAGTGAGACTGTTCATTACTCTTTGTATTCATAACATCTTGAAATCACAAGCTACAGAAACATTCATTGAACATGTTGAAGTATTTTGTATGTTGTCTTTGATGGAAATAGCAATTCTACATTAGTTGGTGTTCATATGATACATCAAGGATGGCCTTGAAGCTGATTGAGATGTTGTCTTATGTCTTAAGATGTTAAACTATGCACCCTTAAAATCATAATGCCTGAACAATTTTGCCAATGACATTATGCAAAAGATAACCAGGAAGAGCTGCTGGGCGTAAGACCAGATGGACTGGGTAGGTAGGCTCGTTAACTTGGATGTTTCTGTATCATCTCACCCTGTTGTTATGGATTATTGCCAACAACACAGATTACTTGTTTTTTGGCTAAGATTTGATAATGCACGAATACAAATCTCACAGAATGAGCATGATGAGTATTGTATTAAACAACAGATTGATTGGAATCACTTAATTACAATCTGCAAAGCTAGCTTGCATGCCTGTTACTGTCCATGGTACTTCCTCACATAAAATTAAATTTCCTGTTGTTCATCATAATGCAGATATACTTGATAATCAGAATTTGATTTTTAGTGGCCATCATCAAGGTTATGCCTATACACATTGTGTTCCTGAGGTGTTAATTACACTGAGCACAGTGAACCCTATCTAGCTAATGTTATCATGTGCCTGTGATAACAAGATAATAACGTACACAAACATCTGAATAATTTGTCAGACCATAACTACAAGGACCCAAAACAGATCACTCACTGTAGAAAATATAACGTTTTCAAAGCTATTTTCCTTATGATCAACAACAGTTCACTACACATACCTTACCATCCCCAAATGAACATATCTGGAATCTTGGGAATCCGTTAAAATCATTTTGGTGATCAGAAATTCAAAATGAAAACAAAAAATAATGTCTTCTGATCTTTCAAAGACGTGACATTTCCAGTGGAAAATTAATCAAAATTAATTTTCTATTCGCTGCACATAAACATTTTGATGAGACTGTCACTGAAATATCACCGATTCCATGCCGTCTGTGTCCATCATAGAATTGATTAGTCTCGAGAATCAGTCTTATATATCGTCGTAAAACACAAAGTAGGTGTTAAATACCAGTCCACGTTTTCAGAGACAGCATGGAATGTTTCGCATATCCAGCAACAACAATATGTCGCTGTTGGCATTTGACAGCAGATACAAATCACACATCGACATTATTGTGAAAATCAGTGGCTTCTATTTTGATTGACATAAATTGAAGTCAAGTATACACGCCGACATGAGTATTCCTAATGTTTAGGGGAAGTGATTATCGTACCTTTCAAACAATACCGGCGACGTGGAAACCGCAGATTTTCACAGATGACGAAATTTTGACACGACGTTGATTCTTACATATCACACTTATGGCGAATGCCACGTAGCCCACAATGCTTTTTGACGTCATTGGGAATTCCCTTCCGGTTTCTTTGTGGCGCCACCTTGTGTTTAGAACATGTTTATTACACGGAGAGCTAACTCTAATTTACCAAATTTGCTTGATAACTATTTTGTACGTACGGTCAAAAGAAGGGGTACGACTGTTGACGAGAGTAAATCTTTAACCCCCGTTTTGATCTGATAAAATATACGCATTTCTGTGATAAACCTGATTTTGCATTATGATCCGCTAAGGCAAATGTTTAGCGTGTTGCATTAGGTCACAAATTAAGTGTACATTAAATAGAACTGTAACTAAGACACACGACTATCTTATCTTACATGTAACAGTTTCTTGACAGGCACATGAATAAATCATAATGATATTTGTAGAGGCACGTGGTGATATACTGGCTTGTAAATGACAATGGCTCAACCTACTTATATTGTAGGCCTACCTCTAAAGTAGGTGCAGATTTGTCCTGACACTGACTGTGAAAGTCATTTAAAGGAGACATCCAGCTTTCACTTGTGTGTCTTTCCACAGAAGGCCCACGTAAAGGTGAGATGATTTGGTAATTGGGAAAACAGGCTGATTAGTGTACACAATAGTAGCAGCAGTAGAATATGTATTGTCTTATGCTAAATATATTTCTTGAGATATATAGATCTAGTTTTGATAATACTAACGTGTAGAGAACAGATTCTGAAATTTCCTTAACAATTTCTTATTATTTGTTCAAATGGCAAGCTGATAGAAGCAGATATATTTTGACAAGAACAGTGTCTAATTTTATGTGACATTGTTACATTCATGCATGCCATGAGCTGTGAACTGGTGAAACATGCCTATACTTGTCCCTTGCAATTGAATGGTAAGTTAATCAAACATATAACATACCTCTGTCAATTGTAGCAAGGTTACTGAACCCATGATATTTTATATGTCAGTGAAGCATTATGAAGCACTATTGAAAGACTCTCAGATATAATGTACCAGATAATACAATGTATAATGTACCCACTTAAATGATAGATCTAATGAGCTGAGGTTTGGGTTCCATCAATTTGTTGCATAGTTTATCATTTAAAATTGATGGATATAACACACCCACATATAACGAATAATGAACTCTCTTTGGGCTCCTGTACTCTGTCAATGACAGTATACATATATTCATGGTTAAAAGGAACTGTTAATCTCTGAACTGATCACGTGTCACGATTCAGCATGTGTAAACTTCTGTAGCCTCATATAGTTGTTCAAAACAGCAACAAACTATTGAAGATGAGTGATTCACTGGATTAACTTCTAACACCTTGTTTGAAGTTTACATCTTAAAATAGCAATAGTGAAACAGTGATAAGGCAGTATCCGGTTCTTTCAGAGTTGTCCTGATATAAACAATGATGATATTCTGACAACTCTTGACCATGTTAATGTTTAAGACGAAATACCATAGTTCCTCACGGACGACAAGTATCCTCTTGTTTGTAGATGTATGTACAGAGCTATAGATAACTTTCTTCTTTTTTTTTCCTTTTTATTTTTGGGGTGGCGGATGGGGTTTGTCCTTGAGTTATGTACTCGCTTGTGTTCATCTCAGTTGGGTATCCTAATTTTCCTTTGTGTGACCCGATAAATTACACCCACCTCACTCAAACTCAATTGGGTATTTGGCCATTTTCTATTAATTTGGAAAATATGATAAAGTTTAAATGTTGGTTTATGTGTTATATATATTTGATCTGTAATACGAGAAACGATCAGAAAGACTGCAACATGCCAAGTTCATGTGCTGAAATAGAACCTCTCAATATACCTCAGTTAATTTATCTATTTTGTGTGTATGCATGTAAGATCAAATTTATTGAGTATTTACAACAATTCAAGCGTATTTGTATGCAAGAGACTTAATAGGAATTGAGTTTTCACATAAATATTTGTGTAATTTACAATACACAGCTTATCTGTACCTCTGGAATAATTCAATGAAACTGTCTCATTAATATATTTATAATATGCATGTAGTTATGTATGAGATGAATCAAGATAATGCATATATTGCACACTTATGTTATTTATCAAGTGACTTGACATGGTCACATGACTTGGTCCAGAATGACTATGAAATGCATGTGACAAACTGCAGTGAGAACTAACTAATTAGTTTCCCCTTTGAGTTCATTATAACTTGAATTAACTGTAAATATAGCTGCTTTCACAAGATTCCCTTGAAACCTACCAGTCTATGAGTGAATATTCATCTAATGAATTATCATTTGTCATTTTGTAACATGAGGTATTAGCATGTATTTGTGGGTATGGGGTAAGCAATATGTATTTATTAGCTAGACTGGATCTCAAGTGAGTAATCATAGAAGACTCAAAGTAAATACTGATTTGCTAAACAAATTGTAATCTGAAACCTTGTGTTTAAGTTAGAATCATGTCTGACTTCAGCTGATATTGGCGAAACCATGTGTGATTCAAGTGGAGGGAACCCTGAAGATGAGAGAATACTCCTGGTGAAATCCATCTCTTCTCTCACTGAAACAGAGGAAACACTCCTAGGCAGAGCAAGAGATATACTAAAGGGTACTGAAAGAAGCCTTTTTGTCTCTGTGAAAAACTCATAAAATTGCACATGACATCTCAGGTTGATATGGTACCATTGTATCATGCAATAAAGTGAACACACATACCCCCCAGCACCCTATGCTTGCCCACAAACCCACTCTAACCACATACACACACACTATTACAACCAAATCTCTACATACAAACACCCTACCACAACTTATCTTTAACACTCATGAACATCCAGGTTAGAATGGGCCTTCAGCAACCCATGCTTGTGGTAAGAGACGACTATTGGGATCGGGTCGTCAGGTCCATTGATTTGTCTGACACATGTCATCATATCCCAGTTGCTGGAATCTATGCTCATGCTGTTGATCACTGGAGTGTCTGGTCAAGACTCGAATATTTACAGACTGCCGTCATATAGCCAGAATTAAACAACAAACAAACAAAACCGTTACAAGCTATCTCCACTATCACCCATGTACCCTCTACCCCTTCCCATGAACATCTGCTCCCACCCTACCACAACCTGTAATGGTCACTTCAGTGGGAGACTGTTACATACTATGAGTATGAGAACGTAAGAACCCGTCGTCACCTTAACCCTGTTGTAGGTAGTAGTCCTGCATGTATACATAATGTTCCTGTGTGTTTACACTTGGTGTACTTTCTTTAGAACACTAAGCTGTCATCATTAATACATCACACTGTACTGATGAGCTGTACTGATGAGCTGTATCCTTGACCATGTTTGTTTCTAGAGTCTTTGTCTGTGTTGGTTGAGGAGAAGATTGGGCTGCTATTCAAGATCGTATCAACGTATAAAGACGTTCTGCTAAGGTTTGCTTTGGGATATATTCATATTTCTAGAAAGGATCGTTCACCCCTCTCCTACACATAAGGTCTTTGCTTTGGGATATATTCATATTTCTAGCCTAAAGGATCTACAATAAATGAAGGACAGAAGTAGTTATCCTCAATAAAAACCACTGTCATACAGCTGTTTTGCACTGTATTCTTGCACTGACCAGCCACCTGATGAAGGAAACAAACAAAACACACATAAGATTTTCACAACAAAATGTAACACGAGAATTAAACAAAAAGGCAGGCTTCTTGAATGCAATGTACAGTAGCAGTATGTGGCTCCAGCTGACTTTATCTCCATCTTTTGCAGACATGGAATGAAAACAAAGGCAGAATTTAACCGATACATTCAGAGGTATTACAGGTAACTATGGGAACATGTTGCATATACTGGGTATATATTTACAATATTATCAATCTAATACCTGATATCATAACATTCACCTCAAAGTATCCTAAAACTAGTAATAATTACATTTATTACCCATATGGTGAAACATAACCAGTGTCATATGCTAGTATATCATGTGCACATGTTTACATATCACTTTTGCCTAGCAACCATTGTTTCTGTATTTTGTTGTCTGTGACATCATAAAACAATTGAACGTGATGTCAATGAAGAGAGCTGTCACGCTTGCTTACCATGTTTTACTGGACAAATGTACTTGAATAAAATGGATAAAGAAATTATTACACTCGAGCAAGTGTGTCATATGACTTATATGAAACGCATGGAATGTTAAGTAAAAACTTTTTTTCCAGGCACCCTGAGGTCCGAGAGGCAGCAGACTACTGGCAGGATCTCGAGGTAGCGTAGTGACTTGTCATCTTGTTTTGGGGGAACAGGACATTTTTCAGTTTTAAAAAACCCAGCTTATATAGAATCCTCCTAAATGCTATTACACGTACATCTTTTTCTGTATGGATAACATCCACATAGCTTCTGCTGATATTTTCATTCCATGTCCTACAATGTAGGAATATAAGCAATAGATTTTTCAACCGTTCCTGTAACGTCTGATTGACAATGAAACCAGAAGTGGCCATTATCATTGACCTGCTGCTGTGTAATAATTTTCCAGAGAGAATGGGATGATTTTCTTGGTGATGTAGACAAGATGTTGGATACGGAGCAGGATGTGCAGTTAGGCCCAGGTGAACTGGGCCCAGTGGACTTGCCAGTAGAGGATGCTCAGTCTGGAAAGTCCACAACTCTACAGAGTTACCTCCCTTCATCCAGCCTCACTCTTGTCTTGTTGCGTCATTTTGCCTGACTACCATGACGAGATCATGTGGCACAACTTCTTGCTCACCAGGTAGGGAATGTTTTGTCCTGTTAAAGTAAATGTTTGGAGTTTTGTACCTGCAAACAAAGGCATTTGATGTGAAGAGTTAGGTCCTTTAGGGACAGTTCATAATTTATGGTTATGTCACCCATTTTGTTCTGGGGAGGTGGGGGGTGATCAATTTTGTAGACATGAACTAGGGTGGGGGTCAGCAATTTTGTACATATAAATAATTTATAAATTGTGGGAAGGGAGATGGGGGTTCATTGATTTTGTACATGCTTCTGCATAAAATCATCATCACCCCCAAGCCATAAATTATGAACGGTCCCTTAGGCTCACTTGATCCTGTGATCCTGGGTGAAATCACCTAAGGTTCTAGGTTTGTCAGATGTACAGGTCTAACACCTGCATCACTTCAGGCTTTGGAGAAGCCACCATGGAGAATAAAATGGTCAATTTGTTTTGTATGAAACATATTGTATTCACTAAAAGGAATGGGATTGGGAACAGGCTCTCCAGCTTTGATCACCTTTTCTACACATATATCACAAGAAAAAGGTCCACATGATCAACTGCAAGAAACTAGGCAGTATTTCAGTTGGTAGATGCTACCTTCTTGTGACTGATCATGTGGATGATTATGATCTTTTATATATCAACTTAAGGGTTTTATTAAAATAGTACAAATTTTGATATGTGTCACTTTGGGCTTAACAATAAAACACAATTGACACCCAAAGGATCACACGCTAAGCTTCTGGATGCTTTTACCGGTGTTCACTCAAATAAATCACCGGTGACTTACGAAATTGTATACTGTAAAAATAAATTCAGAATTCAGAATCATTCGCTCGTCACGTTGAAGATTCAGTTCCACATATGGGTACAATGTGTGAAGCCCATTTCTGGTGTCCCCCGCCATGATATTGCTTGAATATTGCTAAAAGCAGCATAAAGCTAAACTCACTCACTCACTCATTCAGGAGGAGTTTTCTGCAGCAGGAAGTAAGGTGCTTGTGATCTCATTTGGAGCTAAGGAAGGGGCGGAGAAATGGCTGGCTGACACGGGCTGTACATTTGACATGCTGCTGGATCCCGACAGAAAGGCAAGTATAAAGGCTACATGTGTTGTGCCGGGGAAATATCAGGCTATGGGTTCCCGACAGAGAAGCAAGACTCATGTGTTGTGTGGGGAAATATCAGGCTATGGCTTCCCGACAGAGAAGCAAGACTCATGTGTTGGTCTCTCTTGGGATCCACTGAGCAATGTTTGTATTCCAGGGAAGCCTGATGATCCCCATGTTTATAGGCTTCACTGATGTAACAAATGTGTAGTTGTAAGTCAATTCAGCCATTCCTTCCTCATGCAGTGATATGGTTGAAGAACTAGCATTAACATCCTACCTACACAACTCACTCTAATACTACCCTCATATTTCCTGTCATACATCAGCCTGAGGGAATATTTGTCATATGAGCTGCCATGTTTTAAAAGACAATTCCTGTTTTTGTTTCAGTTGTATAAAGCATTCTCATTGAAGAGGTCTGTTTTGAAGGTAGGAATCTCAATGATAAGTTTGAATTTACTCAGACAAATGAAAAAAAATAACACTTGTTAAATAAATCTCACAATCACAGTAGTGTGTGCATTATTATGAAAATAGATGTGTCATACTGCCACCACTCAGGTAACAACGTGAAACATTTATTGGGGAAATAATGCATGATGTTCAACAACCTCCTAGGGGCTAGGGTTGTCCGGCAGTACAACGTCTCCTCCTAGACAAGGGAGAACACTCTAACCAGGAGTCATCTCCATTGGTCAACGAGTGCCTGCACATGATCTTGCACGTCTTGGGTTGATTCATCTGCTATTGTCCTCACCTGCTCAGTTCTTTCCAGATGTGTTCAAGGCAGTCATTTAGCTGAAACAGTGTTTATTTTTCCTTATCCTGACTCATGCTAGATGCTTATCTCCCTTTTCCTTCGGAAGGGAAAGTGTACATGGAAACTTGATTCCCTTTGCTCTCTGAAGCAAACGTAAAATCACTCACCCAGTTGGGTTACCCAATCTGGCCGAACATATAAAGGATATAAGTCGCAAAAGGGACTCGAGAGATTGCCCGACCGTCCGAAAGGGCGATGAAGGAGAGTGTGACAAGAGCATGCCTCTGTATTGGTCATGTGAGTCAGGATAAGTATAAAATATGAATTTTACCATAAAAATTACACATTACAAGCAACAAATAGAAACAACAAACAACTACCATTTCTGTAATGAACGTGATAATCCCTGCTTGCACGAATACAGTTGACTGATTGTTTGTGGCAGGTGTGGAGTGTATCGTGCCTAGTTTACTATGCTGAACAGATGGTGGCAGGACGAGAGTTACCCGCCCCTTATGAGGACATTGATGATGACCCACATCAGGCAAGCCTTGTTTAGACCACATCGATTGAATTTCATTACTGTTAATTTATTACTGTTTTAATTATTAATATTAGCATAAATATTATTCAGTAGAACAAACATCACTTTAGAATGTATCTATTGTGGTGATGTAATTATGTTACAGGCTAAGTCAAACATTGTCTTGACTTGATAATTGTGTTCTTTGAGCAATGCTTTAAGGAAGTATTAGAAGGGACTTTACTGAACAGACTTTGTGGATATCAACTTCTTTTGTTACGTGAGTGCGACATTTCGATACAGATTCTTGTACTGTTGTCAAGCAGGACAACGTTTCAAGAATCTGTATCAAAACAGAACTATTGATGCCACTATTGACTATTGGTGCCACTATTGACTATTGATGCCACTATTGACTATTGGTGCCACTATTGACTATTGGTGCCACTATTGACTATTGGTGCCACTATTGACTATTGATGCCACTATTGACTATTGATGCCACTATTGACTATTGATGCCACTATTGACTATTGGTGCCACTCAAAGAAGTTAGTAGAAGGGAGACAATTGATGACACTACTGATGTGAGTCATGTCCAATGTTTGGATGGCAATGAATCAGTTACCATATCAAAATTTATCAAAGAAACGGCATTACAAAATTGATACTTTCACAATAACATTTTATTTTACTAATCGTTCACTTTAGTTGCCATTTTTATCAAAAATACACCACGTTTGAAGAGACATACACCTCAAGGATTGTTCATCTGTCAGCACTTCTGTCTGTCTGTCTGTCTCTCTGTCAAGTGCTGTAATGTCATCAGCGGCTGTTTGGTGTGTGTACAGATGGGAGGAGACTTCACGCTGGAGAGGGATGGAAAGATGAAGCTCATCTACCTCAGCGCTACAGCCAAAGACAGACCATCTGTTGATGCCCTTCTTCGGTCTGTCAAGGACATGAATTCTACAGGAGACCAATAGCTCACCTTTCCAGGTAAAGCAGGATAACAAGGAGTGTGTAGCTCACCTTATCATGTGAGGGAGTTGTGTTTAAAGCTGGTTGGAACAGTATTCTAGTTACATTACAGTGTTTGAGTTCAATGTGAGGCCGAAATGTCGGTCTCAGACCTTTACCACTTTGCTGAAACCCATGAGCATAGCTATGGTACTGACTAGTTTGCTCACCTTATTATTTATCCCTATATGTCATGTACAAAATCTGTGCAGCGAGTCTTGATACCTTCCATGGGAATTTGTGATGATCTAAAATGCCAATTGGAATGTAGTTCAACTTGTGCAAGTGTCCACAGGTTGATGTCACTGTGAAGAACCTTCTTCACTCACTATATTACTTGAAATATTGCTCAGTGCGGCGTAAAACTAAACTCACTATATTACTTAATATCATGACATCTTAATGTCATAATGTCATCAATGCTTTGCTCTTATTCCTGTTTTATTCTTGTAGGAAATGAAAGCTTGAAGCATTTCTGTGCTGATTAATGAAGGTCAAGGTCTAAACCAGTATGGCTGCCATGACTGGACACGTCAGTGAAGTGGAATGTTTCAATATTTCGTTACATATTTCTTTATATACAAGATGTAAAATGAACCTTTTATTTTACTGCAATATCTACCTACCTATATCTTTACTATATATTTATGCTAAAGGATTTTTCACTGCACAATATCATGACTTCATGAACCTTAAACCTACCTCGCAAGTGAAATGTGATTTCATGCAGTGATTCTCCACCTTTTATGGTTCTGCACCTATTTCATGTTACATCGCAATGGCTCAAAATAAAATTTTGAGAGTAGTGAAATGATAAGTCACAAAACTGATCCATAATATTACAACAAATAGTTCCATGGTTCTTGATTGGTAGTAACATTTAAAGTCCCTAGTGTCTGAGGACTGGAGGTATGACAGTAACAATGGATTCTCATGATGATGATGATGATGATGATGATGATGATGCATATGATGCATCAGTTCTTATAACTTGCTCAAATCCCTTCATTATTACCCCACTAATTGATTAGTGCACACAAAGTTATTGCCCCAAAACCTTGTCTCCACAACCAACATTGCTAACATTTTCCTGATTTATTATTTGTGCACAAGACTTGGGGGCCATCAGTCACTGGGGTACCAAGGACCTTCTTGACTCACTGTAAGAAAAACTTTTAGTTTTCTTTATTTACTTGTTTAATATGTTTATTAGACACAGAGAGGATGCCAGGTTATTATCAGTGCTATCTTAGTGACAATACATTCACACTCGGTGTTATAACAGCACTAAACTGTTGTGTGATGTGTTGTTTTATGTAGATGTTTTATGGCATAGTATGTACTGCCTCAGTATATACTGGTATCAACAAGAATTCATACAAATATTACAATTACATACTGTTGACAGTTTTTACATATTAAGGAATGTTATTTCATCATATAAGGGCATTTATTTCATCATATAAGGACATTATTTCACCTGACATTTCTTTGAGCTGTTCTATTATTAATCTTATATATATATAATGCTTATATGTAAAGAGAGAGATATTTTATATTTACACTTCACAAATAAAATTTAGATTTGTAAAATGTGTTGTTATATTTCCTACTTCAAAGTGTGTATGTACTAATGGCCAGTATATGGCTTGAATATTGCTGAGTCCGGCGTAAAACTAAACTCACTATCTAATGGCCAGTTCAGCAGTAGATACAATCCAGTGCATTCACACTGTTATTTTCTGATCTCTTACATCACAGGTACTCAGACAAGATTTGTTTCAAAATTAATGAAATTTTAATTCCTCATAATTTACCATTTTTTCCCATCCACATGTCATACACTCATAAATATTTGGAAACAACTCAGTGTCTCAAGAGAATCATCTATGATGCTCAGTTTACCATTACTCAGGTGACATTTGGGGTTGTGCAGCCAGGCAATGGGTAAAGGTTGAGCACCCAGATGACAGCTAAAGGTTGTGTAGACAACTGATAGTTACAGGTTGGCAGCCAGACAGCATTTATAAGGTTGTGCAGCCAGGTGACAGTTATTAAAGCTATATGAAGGGGTATCCTCCCATTTGTCAGATGTGCCATTTGTCAGACAGGTTAAAACAACAAACTATCTGGTTGAGTGCGCTGCTAATCCCCTACCTGTTACCTCTTAATGAAATAGAATTGGCCCATAAAACAAATAACAAAAATAAGAAATGTAAGAAATCAGGGAAGACTTTTAATAATAATGATAATAACAATAAAAATAATGATCAAGTACAAGTAAGCATATCAGTATGAAATCAGCCAGAACTGATTATATTAGAGTATAGTTCAATATTGTCAGCCCAGTTTCAATAGGTGTCCAACAGCATCCAGGAATTGAACATATGTCTTCTGGCCACTTGTCAGCTTCTCTTTCAACCGGAGCAGTCTCCCCTCAGACTCTATGTACACCTTCTTCCTGGGTGGGGGAGCGGCACCAAAGTCAATCTGTGTTAGCTTAGCGCCTGGTCTGGCCTCTGGTTCTATTCTTAGAGTAGGTGAAGCCATCAAGAAATACTTGTGGGGTTATTCCCTGAGACTCAATGAATTCAACTCTGCGTATACATGTTCCAGCCATTACAGCGATATCTTACTGACTTTAGAGTTCATGTTATATAGTACATGTGAGATTACGCTTATGTTTTGGAGAAGTTTAATCCATTTAAGTAATAAAATAATGCAAAACAAATTCAGTTAAAACCTATTGATTAATCTTTACTGAGCCTCACATACTTCCTGTATTCCATATCGTTGAACAAACTACTCTAAATTTCGTTACTACAACACATGCAACCCGTCACAGTGATCAAAAGCAACTTACAAACACAATCATATTCTGGTTAATCTGTATCACTTAACTAACTTGACAGCGGGGAGTAGCCTACTCTGTTCACAGTTTGGAGCAGCTAATTAATTAGTGGGTAAGTCCAGGCAGTTACACTGGTCACACCTGACTGATCGGTCTGATAATTGGGCCATCTGATAAATGGCATGTCTGACAAATGGGAGTGAACCTATGAAGGATGTCTGTATATATTCAAGTCTAGACCTGAAAATCAAGTGATTGAGATCTTTCAAGAGCATTGATCCAAAGCTCATTGGATGCAATGACATGCATCAGCCAAGTCTGAGCCGGTTAGTTACCTCTTATGACAAGCATGGATTACTGTAGACCATGAACCTGGATCAACAGGGAACACAATACATCCAGATAACATCCAGTGATGTAAATCTGGGATGTACTGTGAGCATATCTTGTACACCCTTCTGTCAATAATAAAACAATATTACAATGTGTATTTTTTATTGCATAAAACAAGCAACAATGTTTCATCATTTACACATCAGGCAAGCGTAATGCAGAAAAAACTCCATTAACATGGCAGACACTTGTCAAACAATGTCAACTCAGCCCAGTATTACGGCTGTCACAAATACAAAATGTTATGTAGGTTTGTTGTCTTGTCAGTTTTCATACCAACTGTACTTGGCACTATAAAGGAAATATGGAAGATTGTTTTTGATGTTTGATGACTCATTAAGCCTTTGTTCGAGATGGGGTAAGTAAATAAGCCCCACGCTCTCAGCCTTGAACTAAACTACTAAACTGTTAAGAGCAAGTAAAAAGTCCAGTGATCCTCATTGACTTGTAGCACTGAGGCTTTCATTCTGAACCAGTTGTCAATATCCAATAACAATGTGAAACTGAATAAAACTGATAAAATGTGTAAACATAGTAAAACATTTTGGTCTTGAGTAGATAAAAGTAGATGTGAATTAGTGAAATAAGTGTTCAGTATCACCTTAAAACACACACAAAATAAATCATGTCTAACCAAAACCGTTTCTTTTCAAAACAGTTTCACATACCACAATGGTACAGCAGTAGTTACAAGGCTCAATACTAAAATGTATATAGGTGGAGAATTGGATGGGAATATATGTATCTTTGTACCATCATATTCTTAAAGATTCTTGACTTAAAACATATTCAACACCACAACACAAAAAGATAGTACATGCCACAATGAAAACTCTGTTAAACATTCTGGGAAATATACAAGCTTACTTTTAAAGCCAATTTTAACCACTTCTTAAGTAAACACAGAAAACATTGTCACATCATAATTTGGTACTAAAAACCAGATGTGAAACTTCCCAGATGTACTTGAAAAACTGTTTAGGGTTCTTTATCATTAAATGACTAGATAATATCTTTGTATGAAATAAGCCAAGAACCCAGCCAGACATCAGGGCCGTAACTCAAAATGTTACCAACCAGACAGACAATCCAAAGAAAATAACTCAATTTTTAGTTACAATGAATAATTTAATGAACCTGAGACATGTATTTACTGTCTAACAGTCTATTCACCACAGTCATTTTCAGGAAAATCTGTCAGAGTAACATTCAATTTGAAAAACAGATTTTAACCATCTGGCTGGCTAGCTGTAAATTTTGGCCATCTGTCAGAAATTACTTATACTAACGCTTAGTCTCTGAATATATACAAAACTTTGATAGTAACAAATAGGGGTGGGTATTGCAGAGAATTTTCATAATACTACTTATAATCGGGTTAATGCTTGATTTATAAAGCAAAACCACAACAAAATCACTATGCTTGATTAAGCTTTAAAACTCCTTTTCATCATGACAAAAAATGAAAAATAAAATGTGAATAATATTTGGCACAAATGAAACAAGGGAATATCCGAAGATTTCCGAGTGTTACGAAGTTTTCCGAATGCATGTCAAAATACCGGATTTCAATCAGGGTATCGCAATACGTATCGTTTTCACGTCTGAACCGGTAAATACCGGTAAACCGGTTATTTCGGTAGCCCTAGTAACAAACAAACCTATTTAAATTGAAAAGGAGACCTGAGGGAATCTACACTTGCTTCATTTAGGGCTTTAGCACTGCAGAGAGGGCTAGGCAGTAAGGAAAATAATGTGGTTCAGGGATTGTGAGGCAGAGTACCTATTACTCTGTAGGACAGGCTTGTTCCTGAATGAGGAATCCTATATTAAGACACAAATGATTTGTAAAGATCACAATACAGTTTGGACAGATGTAAGTAATCAAAGCCTATGCAGTAAGATAAATGACAATCTTTGACTCGCACAATTTGGGGGTTGAAAGGATGAAACACAGTGGGTTATTTGGCAAGTTCCTACTATCACAGGTCAACAGTCAAAACCACAATATTTAGTGAATGAATATATTCTATCTTGTAGAGACCATGCAGCCATGGACTCCTTCTCCTGGGGCTAAACTACAAGTGGAATGATTCTCTTGCTACCCGTATGACAATACAACACATGGACGTACATGGTGATAAACCACACTAGTGATTCATTATGAAAATATAAAACACATAATGTAACACTGACCATAGAGAAAATCACTCATATTTCTATATATGGGCACTGACCGTGACTACTGTCGTCTATATACTCAGGAGGAGAGGTGCCTGTCGTCAAGAAAACAGTACTCTTTCTTCGTGAAGTTCTCATGCAACAAAACATACACAATACATGTTGTATCAATACAAGACAATGCTGAAATATATTAATTTCCAGTTGAATGTTGCCCCTCACCACAACTTCAATACTTAAATAAGTCACAAACGTGTGTCTTCAGCTAGCTATTCCCATTTAACCTGCTCGGACAAACGTCAAGACGGACAAAGTCAAGACGTCCTTTGGATTTGACATAAATGCTCCTTTTGTGATATACCCTACCCATATAGATCCTAATCTTCCATGTACAAAATAACCAGCATGACAATATTTTTGCAGTATAAAATTACGGAAGCAAATTTGTTGATATATTGTATCCCAACCAAGGGGACACACTGACCTGGCAAAAAGCATGGCCACCATCACACACATTGACACTAACACTTTCAGCCAGACCACAGGGCTGGTTAGATGTAAAACTTGCCAGCCCTGACCAAAACTTACCTGCCCACAAAATATCTTCATATATATGTGTAAATTTTAACCCGACCGTTGCGCAGGTGAATTTGAGAATCTGGCAGTCCATGTTGAAAATAATCCATTCCAGGCGGTAAGGCAAGCAGTTATTTCAAACGCTGCTTATGTCAAAGTGACCATCATGAAGAATGTGGGCAGACCAGTGGTTGACAGCAAGAGCAATAATTCAATCTTAACGATACACAGTCAGCAACGCTACCCTCATTATGATTGGTTCTGACAGAAAATATGCAACTTTGACCTATTCCGCCGTGTCCTCATGGGGATCCATCATCATCCATTCCATCCAAACTTCACCCAGATTAAGTACATAACAACACATGGATAACAATTACCAGCTGTATTGAGGGTTGATGGCTGACGTCTGCTTAGGCATTGCCCAGGCCATATGGTTCGTGTTTGTCCTTTATTAGAGTAAAGCTGTCGATGATCTTCCCGTTCTGAAGCACATTAAAAATGCAAGACATTAGCATTGACAACTAGTGATTTAGAAGCAGCCTCTTCACCACCATCTCCTAAACCCACCAACATCACATCACACTACAATTCATGTAACGTCTGATACCACTACCCTGTATACACATCTGTATCTAAGCCTGTATACATCCGCCCACTCACCATTGTCATCAGAAGTAGGACATCAATGTGGGTGTGGGTGTGGGTGTGGATGGTGTACTCACCTTGTCATCAGACACCTGTTGGAAGTCAATGTGGGTGTGGTTGGTCTACTCACCTTGTCATCACACACCTGTTGGAAGTCAATGTGGGTGTGGTTGGTCTACTCACCTTGTCATCAGACACCTGTTGGAAGTCAATGTGGGTGTGGATGGTGTACTCACCTTGTCATCAGACACCTGTTGGAAGTCAATGTGGGTGTGGTTGTGGATGGTGTACTCACCTTGTCATCAGACACCTGTTGGAAGTCAATGTGGGTGTGGATGGTGTACTCACCTTGTCATCAGACACCTGTTGGAAGTCAATGTGGGTGTGGTTGGTGTACTCACCTTGTCATCAGACACCTGTTGGAAGTCAATGTGGGTGTGGTTGTGGATGGTGTACTCACCTTGTCATCGGACACCTGTTGGAAGTCAATGTGGGTGTGGTTGTGTATGGTCATACGAGTGTAGCCATAGTCGGAGTCATGAAAAGCTGACCAAGGATTCGGGTTCTTGACAAACTTGTCAAGCCTTTCTTTGCACCCCTAGAGAGAAATATTTTTTCTGTTTATTTGCATCCTGTCATTAAATTGATCATTAACATTTTACAAGATTTTAATGCACACAACACAATGCAGACATTATAAGTTATCACATCGTGTCGAGGGAGATACAGGGTTTTATCAGTCCTGAGTAAGGTTGTATTCCCCTCGCCGGAGGGGAATACAACCTTACGAGGGACTGATAAAACCCCGTATTTCCCTCGACACGATGTGATAACGCATTTATCTAGCCGAATGTTTTTACTGAATCAAAAGAAAACAATACGCATCGAATCAACTTGTTTTTATTTATGTGAGATGCCATGTTGACACCAGCTGATCGAATGACCTCAATGCAGCGCACGTTACTAAAGGCTTGGCGATGCACGCTTTTCTCACTTCACGTGGTCACCGAGGCGTGGCGGGATAATACGACTTTTGTACTCCCTGCTCGCGGATCGTGACGGGTGTACATGGTATTTTATCAGAGTCAAGTGAACCAATCAAAACTCGACATTCTTACATGAGGCTGAATAATACCACTTGAAGCATGGATTAGTGTGTGATGCGACGTACCGCTGACCCTGTGATGATGTGGATGGGGGCCCCTGGGTTGGTGTATGGGTGCTCATAGCTGCCGTTGTACACCTGTATCATAAGACAATGTATATTGTAACATGTACATATATATTTCATATTCTTCATTTATCAAATTATCATCTTTACTTTGATCAATTTGATCATACTGCTAAGACTATGTTAAAGATATGTAAATTTCGATTTAATGCCAGAGTGAGTGAGTGAGTATGGTTTACGCTGCTTTTAGCAATATTCCAGCAATATCATGCCGGGGAACACCAGAAATGTTGTACCCATGTAGGGAATCAAACCCGGATCTTCGGCGTGACGAGCGAACGCTTAGACCACTAGGCTACCCCACTGCCCTTAATGCCAAAGTAATGTAATGGACATCAGGCATGCCTTGTCTTTGGCAAAATACTAACACCTTTAAGTATATATAAATTATTACCACTGTGTTTTTGTAATGTAAATATCAAATGCTGAGAAGAAACCTTGCATATTGCAAGCCTTCGGCTTGATAATATATACTCTTTTCTGTAGTATAGTATTTATGATGCAGAAATACATAAGGATGAAACCCTTGTTATCGTTTCACAAATATGTCTTTTATAAGGGGAATTGCCGGCAAAGCCACATTTTCAATACACAAACTGAGCAGAGAGTTACCGACTAGTAAAAAAAACACCCCTGATATAATTGTTTATATAAGTAGTCAGTTTAAGAAAATCTCAAATAATTTTTATATAGAATAAACATATGATCAAAGGATCACAACAAGTTGGGTAGTGGGCAGAAGTTTCACCAAAGTCTGTGTGGAACCACTTTGGGAATGATGGCCATCGGACCAATAACAACCTTGAGGGGTGGCATCACAAGATCAACCAGTTAGCCCGAAAGTGCCACCCCAACATTTTTAAGATTGTCAAACTGTTCAAATGCGAATAATCACTTACGGAAGTTGCAGTCTTGAGACTGTCGACCCACTGAACAGCCGCTTCAAGACGCAAGAAATACAGAAATATTGACAGCCGACTAAGGTCACAGAAGACACAGATGGTAAATCAGCATTTGACTGATGTAGAGTATGCAGACAACGTCAACCAACCTGCTCCATTTAGATTGAGTGAGTTTAGTTTTACGCCGCACTCAGCAATATTCCAGCTATATGGCGGCAGTCTGTAAATAATCGAGTCTGGACCAGACAATCCAGTGATCAACAGCATAAGCATCGATCTGCGCAATTGGGAACCGATGAAATGTGTCAACCAAGCCAGCGAGCCTGACCACCCGATCCCCGACTCCATTTAGAATGAACTATACTAGGCTATACTATGTGTATGTTTGCGATTGACGCTGAGAATTAATTACGAGAATTGATGATGATGTGAATTAAATATTGTGAGTTATGTGAGTGTTATCATACTATGCTTGTTATGATTGTGAAACCTCGAGTGAATAAAACTGAAAATAATGGTATATATCTTTGCTTTTCTATGTTAGATACGGTACCCTATTACGGGGCTTAACAATGTTGTGATAGCATTGCCGCCAAAGCCACATTCCCCTGTTGTTCATCCGTGTCCTTTAGCGGGAACGCCACCCGAATTTCAGCCTGTTTTTTTCTCAAATGTGGCTTTGCCGGGCTGTAACCTACCAGACAACTGATTATTGTGTTCACTGCTATCTCTTGGCAGTCATTTGAAGTGTGTCTTTGTTAATTACTTGTCAACACATACCCCACGCAGTACGATTGGGCAGTGAGGAAATGCAATTAAGAGTCTGTTAGCAATGAATACATCTAACAGATATATAAAGCATAGTCACGATGCTCACAGACTTCTTCACTTCATAAAGGCACATGTACATACATTGTATATTTATCTACAGTATCCAGTGCTAGTTTACATGTTTCTGTGTACCAATCCTATTACTGCTTGTTGTTGTTGTTTATCACCTGTTATTATTATATCCCCGCTACGAAGTAACAGGGGTTTATAGCGTTCATTTTGTCAGTCCGTCCGTCTTTCCGTCCCGAAACATTGTCCGGAGCATATCTCCTAAAGCTTACATGCTATATTCACCAAAGTTCACACACATGTTAATCATTACCTATAGATGTGCCTTTTGCTATTTTAATGTTTATCAGAATGTTCTTTTGGCTGTTTCCATGGAAACACAACTTAGTGCAAAATGTGTTTCATGGTTATCTTGTCCAAAGTTGGAAGCATGGGTTTGTGAGCTGTGCTCACTTCTACACTTGTTATGTGTGTACTAAATATGTAAATCTGAAAGAATAAATTTTCATTGTGCAACTCCCGAACGTGTTTCTTCAAATAGCCAGACAACTCGCTATCCGGACAATTTTCAGACGTAACCAAAACGTCTGTGTAAACAGGGCTCGATTGTACATTGTTATACAAAGTTTATTGTTTTGCCTTTATTGTAATGCTAGCACTATCCAATACAAGATAAACAAAACTTCATTAAGGCAAATTAAAAGTACCAACTCTCAGTATTTCTTAGGATATTCAAATATGTGGGTTTCAAACATTTCCAAACAAAACAGAAGATTCTGGTTAAGCTAGAAACTCACCTTTCTGTTGTAGACAGGCCACAGTCGTTCATATGAGTGTTCGTGAGCCCACAATGCCACGTCAACGCCGTACTTGTCAAACATATTCTCAAGTCCACCGACATGGATAAAAGGGATGCCTACCCTCACCTGGAAAAAGACAGACACTGAGACAACTCTGTAAGAATTACTTTAAACAGTGAGTATGGGTTGTATTAACTATGTCCAACCCTGGAGAAATGTGTCATGTATATTGTCAAACCTTGGCAACACTTTGAATGAACTGAGTCAAACTTATCCAACAGATCGCAACAGTGTAATCACTGATCACATCAAACATTTTTTGTATGAATGTTTAATGCCACTCTCTGTAATGTTCCAGCGACCGACATGAAGGTGGCTTGTAAGTAATTGAGCCTTGACCAGGCAATCCTCTGGGAAACGTAAGCATGAATTGAGTCAAATGGAGGGGATAGGTTGTGTGAAGCTAGTCTCTATTGGAGATATCTTGCATGAATCAAAGGCTAACTGGTCTGCAAATAGGGTTGCACAACAGACAAAACATTACCAGTCTTCCTGTATGTGAGCGAAGCGAGCAAAGGTTGGCAACGTACTTCCTTCACTTCAGTTAGAAAATATTTTCAAAGTCAAATAAAATATTGCCACCATCAAGGTTAGACGCCCATGTCCTCACAGGGTTGTACTCTCTGATGGCATATCAACTCGTTCGGTTTACTCCCAAAAGTTAGACGTCCTAAAAGTCAGACATCCCAGTTGTCGGACAAATTAATCAGGCGTGACTGTGATTACAACCTAGTCTTACCCACTGATATAATGAACCTGTCCCATACACTAACGAAATGGTTTTCACATTTGTACAGAAATACTTTGATCAGAATACTAATGTTGACTGGCTTACTCAATCACTGGGTTCTCCATTGTGTTTTCACAATGTTCAGGATTATAGATTTGTTTTGTTTTTGAGTTTTCATTAACCTAATGGAGTTACTTCATTCATAACATTGTGTTTCCAACATAAACAATATAAAATATAAAAAGAAGTACAGGGTGTAGGGTTAACATTCAATCATAATAGGAAAGCATCATCCACTCTACTAAATTCAACAAACACTAAATACAAAATGTAAACATTATCACCAAACACGCAATTGATGTTGCCATAACCAGACTAAGATTAGCAAATTGCAATCTTAGTCACTATGTTCATCATTATTCACTTAATAAACATGTTTTTAAACATGGGTTGGTTGTAGAGCAACATATTAACAAAATACAGTCAAATTAAACAGGTTCCTGTCCTCAAACAATATCAATAACCATTTATTATACTACATATATATTAAATTCCAAATCTCTATTACTCTTTACCCATTTCATATTTTTTACCTATTTTACCTTAGGTGTGCATGTGACGCTAAATAAAGCAAATAAGAGAGTAGAATACGTGAAGTCACAGAAGGGTACTCCTCAGGTATTCCTTTCCTTCAAGGCCACACACAAGAACAGAGTACACCAAGAACAGAGTCAGGGGAGAGTTTGTTCACTGGCAATGTGGAAGAGGAAGAGGGTCTACAGGGAAACTGAGAACAGGCTGATGCGTCTGCAAGGGAGGCTGCGTGCAGGAGGGATGACAAACATGGAGTTCCTCGATGCAGTTGGGCATTTGCTCAGACTTGGTTGACATTCTTGCCTGTACAGTGAATGATGTGAAAGATGTCAAATCTTGAATGATTTAATTGACCATTTAAATTATCTTGTTAAATTAACTTATTTTGTTTTAGTGCCAAATAAAGTCATTATAAAGTCATACATGGATCATTTAAATTATCTTGTTGGATTAACTTATTTTGTTTTATGTCAAATTAAGTCATTGTCATTATCCATAATCTCTTCTCTTTGTGTTTGGATTAGTACATTTGGACTAGTCCATTAATTAACGAAAGTAACAGTGTAGTGAACCTCAGTGCAACCAACCATAACCTTTGTTGTTTTAACGCGTCTAACTTTTGGGACGTCTAACTTTTGGGAGGACATCACTCGTTCCTCACCTCCATTACCCATGCCAGCTTCTGGTACATTTTTCTCTCTGTTGCGCAACCCTAAGTGCTCTACAGTTTGCCTGTGCATGCCTTGAGTCATAGTTAGAGGATACTAAACAACCTTTCGTGTAAAACCATTTTTATTAAACGAGTTCATGATTTGGTATCAAACAGGGTTTTACACAGACTTTGAAAAATGGGAGTCATGGTGACTCAAAGCATTGTATTTTTGGGAGTCATTTTCAATATTTGGGAGTCATGAAAATTTTAGTGTAACATTTCTTTGTGTAAATCAAAAAGCAAGAGTTTTGATACGATTTTTTTGTTTAGTGTTGTTTTGTCATTTATATGATTAGTTATAATAGCATGTTTTTCACTGTTCAATTCAGACCTAACAAAGTCCAGTATACTGTATACAAGCAGGTTCACCATCAATATACCTGACATAAATTGCAAGCTTTTTATCTATGGTGATGTCACAAGTCTCATCCAACATAAGGCCAATGTATAGACTGCTCTTTATGGCTTCAATCTGCTGTTCTTCCATAACATGGAAGATTGATTCCTCAATGATATGAGGATTTCTGTGAAAGTTACTGCAGTGTTATACACCATTGATAACTTGCAGATACATCGAATCTTTAAAAGTATCAACAGGGATTTTTATTTAGCTCTGACATAAACAGTAAACACTTGTTTAATTTGACCATCGGTCTGCCTTTTCTGCAATTTTGACAGATGTACTGAAATGCTGTTGCATTTCGTGAATTTTAACTGCGTCAATGTCATCTTTAGAAGCTTGATGTCTCGTTCATGTTGACTTCTGAAAATTTTGACAACCATATATTTTGCCGCTGGTATCAGTGCTCATCAGTGGAAAAGTCAGATTTGTTTTTCTGGCTTTCATTACCGAAAAACGAGTAAAGCGATTGCTGTTTCTTAGCAGGACATACAATGCTTACATGACCAAAACATTGTCCAAATATAGCGAATGATGTATTCAACTGCTATTGGCTGTCTCAATATAGTGAATGACATAGGTACTTAAATGCTATTAGCTGGTATCTTTACCGCATTCTAGCATGGCTCTTTCTTTAGCCTTTTTCCATCACAAGGAATAGGTATTTCAATGTAACAACTGCAGGGATCTTTTTACTACTGTTAATTTTCATTTAATTATTGATTTTTTAAAAGAAATAGACTTGTTACATAAATTTTGATATGTTTTGTAAATAGATAAATATTTTATAATTGGTAGTTTAGATTATCAACTGGGATTGTTCAGGGCTGTATCCTTTAAGGGGGTTAAAGTACTGTAAAATTATTGTCCTCCTGAGAGGGTAAGGAAGTCCCAAAACATTCAAAGTAAATTTATACTACTTTTTTAAGCGCAGTATATATGTCATTTTAATTTATGGCTAGATTGTCAATACTTGCTAACATCTGAAGGGATGGTGTAAACCCAGCTAGGGTCCATGCAGGAAGCAAATGTACTGCAAGTCCCCATGGTCCCTAGTATGGTGATCTACCTTCAGTTGTTGGCAATATCTAGCCTGTTTTTATATTGTATTGTCTTCTGTAATTATGCTGTTTTAGAGTTACATACTAGTTTTATGTTCATGTCTGTCATATTCTAGTTGGTTTTACTGTCCTTTGTTAACAGTGTTTTTATTTATAAATTTACCTTTATGCATTCTAGAATTATTACATGTTTTTTGTGACGATATGGCTGAAATATTGCCGATGTGACTTTAAATGTTAACTCACTCACTCACTGTCTATAGCCTTTCGGTATTCACATACTTTCTGTTAATATGACGAGCGTTTTCAACACAATTTGCAATTATACGAAAGCTATCATTGTTTTCTTATCAAATCGATTTTATGGAACTGAATTCTAAGAGTCACTCATAAAACTTGTGTCAAGCTTGACTCGTATGATAATACTTTGAGAGTCTTTTAGAAAATTGTTGCGTCAAATACGCAGGAATCACGCGTCATGTAAAACCCTGATCAAACAAGCGAAAACGAGTTTGGTGTTATATCTTTCACAAGTTAAATAAAAAAATTATTTCATGGAAGCAAGTTTAGTATTCTGTTTATTACTCTCAAACATAAAATGATAGAAACTGCCTACAGTGTGATGACTATCAGCTTTCCACGACTCAAGCATGGTCTAATACCATTGTGGCAGAGGTAAAACAATTTTACACTGCAGTATCTGCCATGGCGAGTCAAAACTGGAGATAGGTTGTGTGAAGCAAGTCACTATCGGGGAAGTCTTGCATGAATTGAGTCAAATACAGGGTTTAACCTGCATAAAACCCACAAACACTTTCAGAAACCTTAAAGCAAATTCTAAATACAAGTTACATGTAGTCAAAATGCTTAGTCGATATTCTATGTTATGTAACCTTTCAAAGCAATCTCTGTTGGCTAAATGTGAACAGATTTCAATTTTGACTTTGTTTCATTAAAAAGCAAAAAAACACAACAGTAGTTCATTCTGAAACAAGGATTTGTAACTCATTTCGCTGACACCAAGTCCTCCTTCTTACCAAACTTTCATTCCTTGTGCAGTCATCTTTATCAGTGTTGGAGCAGTACATGGGTCTGTGTCCCATTGTGATGATCCATGGTCGCTTCAGCTCGGTTCTCCGGCAGATTCGCTTTCTGAGATTTTCAGACAGTTGCAATTATAACAACATTAATAATGGACTTATTAATGGACTATATACACAGGCAAACTGTAGCACAAACAGGGTTGCGCAACAAAGAGAAAATGACCAGTCTTCGTATATGCGAGCGAAGCGAGCAAACCTGTTTGCGCTACAGTTTGCCTGTGCTATATAACGGTGACCGGACAAAATCCACCCCAAAATTGCCACCCCGGACAAAATCCACCTCTTCTTAACAAAAAAATGGACAAAATCCACCCTTCTCAAATTGCTTTTGTTAAAAGTTTTAGTGTGTCCTGATCTTTGATCAAGTTGTTTTTCTCAAGCATTGCAAGCATTGCTTTGATAGCATTTATGTTTTCCTAATTGGCTGTTGTTCCTAGATGTTGTTTCAAACATTAAAGGTTTCTCCATTTGTCACATTTTGAAAAGAACCAGAACAACCACCAAACGTCTCCAAGAACGCCTTGAAGATCTGTGCAAGACCTACGCAGTGAAGGAAAAGACACTCGAGGCCGTTGTTTGTGTTGTTGAAATGTAGCAAGATGTTTAGTCATAGATATGTTTGAATGTGTGATTCATAAATGTGAAATGTGAAAATGTGCAATTGTCATATTTATATATGCAAAAATGTGCTTACATATGTATTTTGGTTGTTTTTGTTATCGATTATGAATGACTGATATGAATAAACTTCATTTTTGTGACTAAACATGTCATTAGTTTTGTTTTTGTAGGGTAGAATTTATTAGGGGTGGATTTTGTCCGGGTGGATTTTGTCCTAGGTTGCAATTTTGGGGTGGATTTTGTCCTGGATTCTATATAACACCTGGGCAGAGAGAGAGGGGGGAGAGACACCAGAATGGGGCTTGTCATTCTATCATACTTGAAGTACATGTACTCCATACCATCTCCATTATCAGCCAGGAGTGACTCAGTGGGGGTACATTAGGCTACTCCAGGCCCATAGTGGCAGAGGATACAAGGCTTCAGGGGTTGCACCACCTTCAATAATTGAGCACAGGTCTTTATAGAGCCTCCTCCTCAACTCTCTCAATAGCATTGAGTGTCCAAGTTACAGTTTTACACCATGTGATTAATTATACCCCAGTCCTGTCATGGAAGAGGCCTTAATGAACAGGCTTAACCTTATGTTTATATAGAATACATTCCTTAAAGACTGGTCTAGAGGTTATTCATGGTGTGCTTATTGGAGTTGGGCTTAATATGGAAAATGTGGTAAATATCACTGGTAAATGCTTTAACCACTGTGATTGAAGAAGTAGTGTTTCCAAGATGATAAGGCACAGCATGACTTTTACCTTGAGGTCCTCTTCCAACCATTCGTACTGCATCAGTAACTGCCCAAACCCGTACTCTAGATAGTAGTAATACTCAGTGCTAAGCGAGATTATGTGGGCAGGTCCCATGTCAAAACTGAAATACAGAAGTAAATCCTGAAAGATTCATTATACTTTCAGAAATATTATGTGTATAGGGAAAGTGTAGGTTCTCTTCGTTCCTCTATAAAACTTCCACCAAGACTCACCTGTAGAACATGTGCTCAGACTGCTCATCAAACGGCATGGTGAATCGGTTCTTGTAGTTGGAGAAGTTGCTGGAACAAGTGAGTGGGGTGGCATGATTGAGTGAGTGAGTTAGGTCTAGAAGTTAAAACCAGTTTAAAAATTAGTAGATACATATCACAGCACGTCAATGAAGGAAAGCCAAATGTGATGCAATATCACAGTTCTGAGACAAAACAAAACCTGTACTTCTGAGTTTGACTTTGTCCCCACATCTCAGAGACGTCAAGATGAAAAGTAAAAATTAGCAAAAATTTGTTAACTGGATTTAAGCAACTCCATCATTACAGGGCTTAATAGTAACTTACATTTAACATTTGCAAAGGATATTTGTATGACAATGCTGACAAAATCCAAAAAAGAGTGAAATAACATTTGTTTTCTTTGTAGGATTTTGGAAATTTCTAAAGTGTACTTGTTACTAGATAATAATAGAATGGTTTATATTTTTTTCTCAAAACTTCTGGGAGAATTGAGTTATATTCAAAACAATTCAACTAAATTTCCAAGAATTAGTTGCCACAAATAATGCTTAGCCGTGATGATATGAACATATGTATTCTTGCATTCTTAAACAAAAAGACTGCATAGCCTAACTTTGAATTTTTTACTGTGTTCAATGTGCAATAATCTATACAAGGACTTTCTGCAGACATAGGGCAATACTGATTGTGAATATATTGAATCATACAGAGGTCAGAAACAAGTGATGGACAAGATGGACAAACTGTAAATACCCATGTAGTTGCCATTATATAATGTTTAGTGGTCCACAAACCAAGCCTTTCAAGTCCGACTTGTTACTTAATAATAACGAAACTTTGTGAACCCACTCACTACTTGTTTTCATGGTTGCCAGGGCAGGTCATGTAAGGGAGATAACCAGCGATGCTCTGAATCTGTCCCATAAAGGCATCTCCAATTCGACTGTTGTTCTGAAAGTCAAATAGACAATATGTGTACTGGCTGGTAGATACTGACCTTCCATGTTATGTTAACTGTGTTCTCTGTACTATGTACACCCCTATCCCCTGTCTCTTTCTTCAAAAATGTGGATGTGCCTCTGTGTACATTACAGTTAAATATGGATTAGATATTCATCATTACAGGAGATACACACAGAAGCATATTTCACATATCTCCAGTTGGACGTATACTTTTCTAAATGCTGATTTTGCTATGCTAGATATCATGTTGATAAGCATATCAATTACTGTTACGATATCTGTAAATGTTTTAATGTTTTTCACCTTCACTGAACAATTACCACAGATACAAAAACGGTCATATCTTGAAATATTCTATAAACGACATCTAAATATTTCATGTTACTTTATGCTGCTTTTTGCTTACCGCATCCAAGTCATAGGCCAAGTCTCCTACAAGATACAAGAAGTTGCCATTAGTTTACCTGCTTCCAAAGCAAGCTGCTTTTAACTTACTGGACACAACTATAAAAGAATTATTTTGATTGACTGGACACTGCCATGTCAAGCTGTCTTCTTTTTATCGGACGAAAATGAAACAAGTCGTCTTTTGTTTACTGGACACAACTACAACAACAGCCATCACTATATCCCCTGCAATGGCAAAATACTCTTCATGAATATGTCGTTGACAAAACTCAATGTCTGTTTTATTGACACCTATGTGTCTGCCTGCCTGGTTGCTAATGACAATATTCAATACACAACTTCGATATGACCACATGCAATTTGAACTTAACACCTATCAGGCCATACACCATAAACAAAACGCATTGATTTATGGCCAGAGTTCGGTCTCTGTCACATTATGTAATTACACAGACAGGCAGGTGTGATACTTGTACACATGACATGTAATGATGTCTGTTGATTGCAAAATGTTATACACAAAAAATGAGCATGTATTTACAAAACCCAACATCTCTATATATACACACACAATGAGCCGTGAGGGAATCTGTAAATGAACCAGCCGTTACACTTGAGTGCACACCAGCCCACTCTGACTGGGTTCGGTATCCCGGCTGCTTCATTTCTTGGGAAGTAAACTCAAGTACAAAATATTGCACTTTTGATTTGCGATTATATGCTTATAATTTTGTTTATATGTTTTTTCATAATCAGCAATGTATATTATATGTCATGAATAAGTGATAATTGTGTTTTAACTATGTTTGATTTTTTGGTTGCATGTGACCTTTAAGTTCTGCTCTGGAAAAGAGTACTACCACCAAATTCAGTCAAAGCCAAACTTGTTGCCATGGAAACACAAAATGATTTTATTCAGAATTCCAAAACTACCAAAAGGCACCAGTTCACCACTAGACCTATCTATGTGCCAAATGTGGTGAAGAAATATTGTACAGTTTCCAAGTTCTGCTCCGGAAAAGAGCACTACCACCAATTTCAGTTGAAGTCAAACTTGTTGTCACCAGGAAATGCTAAAAAATGTTTTATTCAGAATTCCAAAACTACCAAAAGGCACCAGTACAATAGTTTTAAAGTTCTGCTCCGGAAAAGATGAATGTGCATGGAAGGACGGATGCACAGAGTCCATCTTAATACCCGGGGGATAAAAAGATGCTAAGTTGCCAGGCGTGGCAGCAAGCACAACCTTATAGATGGCCTACCGACTGTGACAGCAGAGGACCTACCTACCTACATGTAACACAGTATCATACATGTCCACCTCTCTCTGAAGTCGGGGCAGAGACTGGGCGTTAGAGTTGCCCATGTCACCGAACATGACCAGACGTGGACTCCAGTTATTCCCTTTGGGCATGGCGGTAAAGTTGAACATATCGCTCCAGCCATAGTAACTCCCACAGTGATAATCTAGGGTAAATGAAAACAAACAGAATATGATCCTGCCGATCATTTAATTGTAGTTTTGTACTAGCAAGTGAACCACACAATAAACTTAAGTATTTGTCCGTTTGTTTCACATAGGTAAAGACGTACTGCCACATATAATTTATCTGTCTGTCAAATAATAAGCCTGTCCAGGAGTAAGCCAAGTGATTAGTAATCTTTACATATGCAAAATAGAATTTCTCTCCAAGGGTAAGCCCATGAACGCAATTCCCTGCATATACATGTATTTACAGTATTTCAGTCCAGGTGTAAGCCCATGAACGCAATTCCCTGCATATACATGTATTTACAGTATTTCAGTCCAGGTGTAAGCCCATGAACGCAATTCCCTGCATATACATGTATTTACAGTATTTCAGTCCAGGTGTAAGCCCATGAACGCAATTCCCTGCATATACATGTATTTACAGTATTTCAGTCCAGGTGTAAGCCCATGAACGCAATTCCCTGCATATACATGTATTTACAGTATTTCAGTCCAGGTGTAAGCCCATGAACGCAATTCCCTACATATACATGTATTTCCAGTATTTCAGTCCAGTGTAAGCCCATGATACATATACATGTATTTACAGTATTTCAGTCCAGTGTAAGCCCATGAACAGTATTTTACAGTATTTCAGTCCAGGGGTAAGTCCATGAACCCAGAGTAACCAATTCCCTACATATACTTACATAAGTTACAATATTTCTGTCCCAGAGTAACCTCAGTGATTGCAACTCCCTACATACCCTTACAGTATCTTTGACCACTGTTAGCCCATGATTGTAACTCCCTATGTAAACTTACACTAGTTTGTAACTCCCTGTGTAAACTTACACTAGTTACAGTATTTCTGTCCCGGAGTAAGCCCATGATCGTAACTCTGTACATATACTTACAGTATTGCTGTCCCGGAGTAAGCCCATGATCGTAACTCTGTACATATACTTACAGTATTGCTGTCCCGGAGTAAGCCCATGATCGTAACTCTGTACATATACTTACAGTATTTCTGTCCTGGAGTAAGCCCATGATCGTAACTCGATCTTTACATATACTTACAGTAACTGTCGATCTTTACATATTCTTACAGTATTTCTGTCCCGGAGTAAGCCCAGTGATGACGACTCTGTGTATGTACTGGGCCCTGTGCTCCGTCCCTCCGATCCACAAAGTGGGTGCTGTAACCAGTGGCCTGCTGGTTGACAGTGGCTGGACTCAGGCCATATTTGACGACAGAAGTGTTAGTGGAGTTGAGGGTGCTCCAAGTCACTATCATCTGGGTGGGGTCACCTAAGCCAAAAAACATTAGTTACTATGGTTACAAGATACAAATTAATGACAGTGACACATCAATTTACCTAAACATGACTTGTTTAGCGCATCCACAGGGACTCGGAAAAAGTCCAAATACTGAAAAAATTCCAATCAAGTGACAATAAGTTATCACTGTGTTTGCTACTAGCTGGGTTATGGTATTACTTGCAATTTAATTACTGTAACAATGTGATGATCATGATACACAATACAATAGCAGTATTAAAAATAAAATTTAAGTGTCTGGGACCCCCATTTTGTTGTCCAGGACCCCTGACAAATTAAGAGTATGAGTCCCAGGGACCCTTAAGTACAGGACTCCAGGTAAATCCCTGCATGGCCAACAAAAGTGATTCAGCTTAACATCATATGAAATGATGCATTCATGAGGAACCTTGTTCATCATCAGGGGCCGAGGAGATGTAATCAGTATGCCTCACAGACCATACAATTAAATATATACAATCAGGCAAACTATTGTGATTTGCAAATGAAGAATGCTCAATATGTTTTGGTAATGGTCATCTGCTACAGCAATGCTATATCACACAATAATATGCTGATAAATAGCCACATTTCCATAACATTTAACTGTTAATGTGGTTACCACTGTGGAGGCACCCTACAATATCTATCACATGTTGAAAATATCATGATACTAAGGAAAATATGTCTTTTCACACAAAACTTTATTACTGAAACACATTCATTTACGGAAGTGCTTTGTTAAGCAACTCAACCAACATGGACATTCTTAAATCTACACAGGTGTTTATCATAAAAGCAAATCTGTTTCATGTTGGCACCACTGACTCACAAGTCTTAATTTGCACATGTTGACCTTTGTTACTATATTATTTAAGTCTTGAAATATGTTTAGATCAATCTTCTTATTGTTCATCGTTACTGGACTGGTATTGATGTAAACATTCTTGCTTGTTTACCAGTCTGTGTTTGTTTTGGACAAATAAACATGTTTAAAACATATCAATACTGCGACATAATTCTGCTATCAGTGAGCTCAAATTTACCCATTGCCAATTTGCATTCTATAGTCAGGTTTTTGTTGGTATAGCGATATTGAAAAAGCATGTTGCAGGCTTACATAGGGAAAATGCTAGAAGGCTGGTGAATGTTGGTGATGGTGGTATATATGCTGCTACTCCCATGCATTTTATCAGGGAGACCATATAACGGGGACTGGTCACTCCTCGAAAAGCCCCTTAGCGTATGCCTCGGCTTGTCACATGACCAGTGTAGCCAATATGGTGGCAGCGTAGTTTTTAAGATTGAGCCCGTTTTTTTTTCAACAGCTGATTACATTCGCTGAGAGTTGTGACAACTGAAAACGTACATGTAGAAGATAAGTTACCTATTCTGTCACTTCATTTTAAGTCAAATAATTGTTATTAGTGTCAGTATTAGTGCAGTAGATTTGTAGTAAAGTTTCAAGTCGGCATGTTGTAGCTCACTGGCTTCAATTCTCGGTACACAGCGAAGAAAGACGTGTTTGCAAGTAACATTGATAGTTTTATAACTAAAAAAAATTGTTTGGGTGTATTTGAGGTGTGTGAAAAATATGACATATCGCCGATCTGCCATTGAAATACTACAGTGCGTTGTTTGAGTGTTTCTAGTTATTGTTCTAAAACATCTTTCACATACACCTTTAATTTTTATGAGGGGAATATACCATCAGGTGAAAGGTGTTTGCAAGTAATAGTGATAGTTTTATCATTTTAAAAAAATTGTTAGCGTGTACTTGAGGTGTGTGAAAAATATGACATATCGTCGATCTGTTCTGATCTGCCACTGATGCTTGTGATGCTTGAGTGTTATAGTTCTAAAACTTCTTTCTTTCTTGTTGATCTTAGTATTTGACAAAACTGGAAAGGTGTTTACAACGATTTGTGATAGTTCTAAACTTTCTGTTTTTGAGGGGTGTGTGACTATGTCAGTTAACATTCTGTCAATGCCAATGCCATTTCACACATGCAATAAGATATCTGAGTTATTTACTAATGTAACAAATGTCTGTAAGTAGATTTAAAAAAAAAAGGACAGCTGATGTTAACGCATGTGTTTTAGCGATAGTTTTGCGTTCTTTAACATGTTTGGGATGGCCGTGGTGTATCATTTATTCTTTCATTCATTCACATATGTATTGCTTTCTGTTGTTCTTTTTCTCTATTGCTTTCATTCATTCACATATAATTCTTGCTCTTCATTCATTCATTCATTCATTGTAAAATTCCGACTGTGTGTGTTGGAGCATGACGAGGCACACGCTAATTAGTACAAATGGTAAAGAAAGCAAGCGAGTGACCTATCCCTGTTGTAGATTATCCCTGATTTTATTCAATGAGCTGGAAAATAGAATGTTTTACACACGTTCTGCTTCCTGATACCTCTACTCAAAATAATCTGCTGCCATTGTTGACCCCCTGGTTGAGTGACATGCGAGAAAGTTCAACAAGACTGATCCTCTTTAGGGAACACACTGAATGTCTGCCCAGCAGCACCTCCCTACTTAGAAACCGGTACATAGGACCTGTCTAGACCAGATTTTACTGGTCTTCACGATTTTGTCGTACATGCTGCTTGAACATGACAAAATGGTTTATTTAAATATTATGTTTACTTTCTGTCAAAGTAGTCTCCACTCATCAGTATGATGTATACTAATTCACGAAGGCTAACAACCCACCAGCTGTGGGAGATGCATAGCCGAGAGCCGCGATGCGGTCCATAGGCTAATAGCCTATGGACAGCATCGTGGCTTGCCTATGGCATAGGCGCCTGACTCTGATATATTTATAAGTATGACCTATATTATATACATTATGCGGTCCTATACAGTCAAGACAGGGTCATGTCTTGACTGCATAGGACGGCATCGCGGCTCTCGGCTAGGAGATGCACTCTTCTCCTGTTATAACATGACTTGTAGTATGTAAAAATACATTTCTGCTTGTTTATCAATCCATTCCACTTCTAAATGCCCTTCAAAGATTAAAAAAAAAGGCTAGAATGCACTTTACCGGGCGCAGCCCTCGCTGCTCCCTTTACGATCCTTAGGGTTTAGGGTATGCCACCCTTTACGATCCTTAGGTTAGGGGTTAGGGGTTAGGGTTAGGGTTAGGGTTAGGGTTAGGGAAACCCAGCAGCGCTAATTAATCTGAAAAAGTGCGCCCGGTAAAGTGCAGTACTCAAAAAAAACACTATTGTGAAACTCAGTTTGAAACTGGGAAATAACCAAGCCTTGATTTTTGCCCAGTTTCAAAGTGATTCAAGACGGGCAGCGGCTACACAAAGATAGACTACATCTATAAGAACAGTCTAAGTCATCTCTTACTCTGATAATGCTGTGAAAACACTTACGGCCATATGACAAGTGTATCTGCTCTGGTTGTTGGTAACTTATGCCATAGGATCTCTGTAAAACTGTCACAAATACCAAGGCACACAACATCGCCCCTACCGCCGCCATGCTGGATTTGTATTGACACGAGTGTTTATGGTCACATGACCCGGGAATGGTCACGTGAAAATGAGCCGTTTTGGGTCGCGCTTCCAATTAAGACTAAAACTCTTCAAATCCAGTTTTTAATCCTTTCACTGCAGTGATTTTTCATATACAAGTCAGAGATTCGGCGACGGCGACTACTACGTATACTATACGTATTTATTTTTAAATTGAGAAGTTGACGCGCTTTACTTTAACCACTTTGCAGTGCCACAGGTCCGGTCACAGTACCAGGTCGCCGTGACTTGGTTGATATATAGCCTGCTAGCTGGGTCCGGGCACAGTTATCAGGCCACCGTGACATGGTTGATATATCCTGCTAACTAGGTCCGGCCACAGTTATCTGGCCACCGTGCAGACATGGTTGATATATCCTGCTAGCTGGGTCCGGCCACAGTTATCAGGTCGCCGTCACATGGTTGATATATCCTGCTAACTAGGTCCGGCCACAGTTATCTGGCCACCGTGACATGGTTGATATATCCTGCTAGCTAGATCCGGCCACAGTTACCTGGCCACCGTGGCATGTTTGATATATCCTGCTAGCTAGATCCGGCCACAGTTATCAGGTCGCCGTGACATTTTTTATATATCCTGCTAGCTAGATCCGGCCACAGTTACCTGGCCACCGTGGCATGTTTGATATATCCTGCTAGCTAGATCCGGCCACAGTTATCAGGTCGCCGTGACATTTTTTATATATCCTGCTAGCTGGGTCCGGCCACACTTACCAGGCCACCGTGACATGTTTGATATATCCTGCTAGCTAGATCCGGCCACAGTTATCAGGTCGCCGTGACCCTGCTAGCTGGATCCGGCCACAGTTACCAGGCCACCGTGACATGTTTGATATATCCTGCTAGCTAGATCCGGCCACAATTATCTGGCCGCCGTGACATTTTTTATATATCCTGCTAGCTAGATCCGGCCACACTTACCAGGCCACCGTGACATGTTTGATATATCCTGCTAGCTAGATCCGGCCACAATTATCTGGCCACCGTGACATGTTTGATATATCCTGCTAGCTAGATCCGGCCACAGTTATCAGGCCACCGTGACATGGTTGATATATCCTGCTAGCTAGATCCGGCCACAATTATCTGGCCACCGTGACATGGTTGATATATCCTGCTAGCTAGATCCGGCCACAATTATCTGGCCACCGTGACATGTTTGATATATCCTGCTAGCTAGATCCGGCCACAGTTATCAGGTCGCCGTGACATGTTTGATATATCCTGCTAGCTGGGTCCGACCACAGTTATCAGGTCGCCGTCACATGTTTGATATATCCTGCTAGCTAGATCCGGCCACAGTTATCAGGTCGCCGTCACATGTTTGATATATCCTGCTAGCTGGGTCCGGCCACAGTTATCAGGTCGCCGTCACATGGTTGATATATCCTGCTAGCTTGATCCGGCCACAGTTATCAGGTCGCCGTCACATGGTTGATAATGATATATAGAGGCTTTAATGATATATAGATACCGAGGCTTTAACTCCACCACGCCATCTGAGACATGTCTTTATTTTCCACTGTAGATAATTAATCAGGGTCGCAGCAACATTTCAAATGTTCCGTTCATTAAAAAACAAACCAAGAAAAGGTAATCAAATAGTTGAAGCAAATATCTTCAAATCTGACGAAATTTCAAGCTCGAAACGAATGAAGACATATCGTCATAGGACAGGATCAACAATATCAAATGTCAAAACATTTTAGAAAACATTAATACAAACTGGATCGTGCCTATATTCGAAAGACAAATTACATGTCATTTACGCATATCTATTTTGGGATAGCTTTCTGTGATTCAGTTGCCGCCACTAAGCCCGTAAGATTCGTGTCTGTCTTTGATGAGCTTGAAACTATCCACGATTTGCCCCTTCTGAAACGAAATAAGGAAAACGTGCATCAGATTCCCATGGCTCAACATTGTCTAATACATGTAGTAAAATATATCAAAAAACTAAACTTCCTCAATATCAATCGTGATAGCCATGTAAATGAGTCACAAACAAGTGGGATAACATTATTGGGGACGTCTTTATCATATCACGTCCTTGACAACGACATAGTGATCTCTATGGAAACGTTGCATCTTAACCCTTATCCCACCAAGTGGGTCATTTGAGGCCCGAAGTGCACTTTGATGGTATGCCAAAACTTCATTTCTTTATATAAATGTTCAGTATTCAATGTATTCCTGAAAATCACAATACTGATTGCTGTGAAAAAGTTTCAATTTAATTATTTTGAAATAATTACCATTACTTTTAAAAAGCACATATTATTGCATTAACTGCTTTGCCGGGCCTCTGAGGCCCGGTCAGCCCCCTCAGCTTCCACTCAACGCCCTTGATAAAGCTTCCTAATGAATACATTGCATAGTAACTGCCAGAAGAAGTTTGAGAAGAGGAACACTTTTTATGAATAGACAAATTCTTTACTGCGGTGGATGCGAAGTTTCTGTGTAGATCCTAACACCGTTATCAAGCAAATGATACACAACATATGCACAAGGAGAATTATATACATGAAGGGTATTTGGGTTTACATGTACGAGTCTCCACATTTGCATTGAATGTAGTAGACAACGCCTGAAGGGTCTTCTTTGTTGCTTGTAGCTGGTTTACTGTTGGCTTGTAGGATATGCTGAATTGATGTTCCTCTCTGGAACACAGCATCTATGTTGGCTTGCTTCTTCAGTAATCTGGGGATATGGTGGCTGGTTGTATCGACATATGGTATACTGGTGATGAACGGGGATGATTGTTGACATGGTGGTTTGTGTTTTGGGTTGAGGGTGGTCTTGATGGTTCTGTTGACTAGATTAGCTGGGTACTGATTAAGGTTTATGAAGACATGGCGAAGGTGTTCTAACTCGACTTCAAGCCTTGAGTTGTTGAGCTGATGTTCTTTGCTCTTCTGGCTAGGGTGGAGATTATACCTCTCCTGACTTGTATTGGGTGATTAGATGAGAAGTGAAGATATTGGTCTGTGCGGGTTAGTTTCCTGTAGACACTTGTTTGGAGTTTGTTTTTGTCTTTTTCTACTTGGACGTCGAATTTCATGCGTGGATGTTGGGCATTAAGGTGTTTGAGAAGGCAGATGGGATCATCGGTGGGGTTGATTATGACAAAAGTGTCGTCTTCTTTCCGGAACCAGCATATTGATGTGACGGGTAAGGTGAGGAGGGTCTTGTCTTCAGGTTCTGTCATGTAGATCTCGGTGATGATGGGGGAGAGATGTGAGAACTCCTAGAGGCAATCAACATCAAACGGCTCAACCCGACAATCAACAGAGATTCTTATTACATCCCTACAGCTTACGATCAACTAATCAAAAATAACCCACCCTTTGTTTACTGGCTTCAATCATTTCTTATCACAACAAGCCTCATGTCAACACACATCGACCTCTTCTGTTGTATAAACCCAAATACCCGTCATGTATATTTCTCCTTGCGCAGATACTGTGTATCATTTTCTAGATAACGGTGTTAGGATCTACACCGAAACGTCGCATCCACTGCAACAAAGAAGTTGTCTATCCATATAAAGTGTTCCTCTTCATCACACCAGCTTCTAAATGCCACTTAAGGAAGTTTGAGAAGCAATTTTCGCGATGTTTTGCTCCAACCTGCTGCTGCAGATGATGATGGTAGTGGTGCTGATGCAGTACCTTCTGACAGTGGAACAGATTCTGAGTTTTAACCTCCCTTTGAAGAAAGTGTTAGTGACAGCAGTGACTGTTCTAATAGTGAAGAAGAACGTAATATCCTGTCAAGCTCTTTGATATGAATCAAAATGGGGTGACCGGGCCTCACAGGCCCACTTGGCGGTAATGGATATGAAGAAAGCTTGGTGGGATAAGGGTTAATATAATAAAGAAATTATCATCCATAAAGTGTCTCACTTTTCTTGTAGCTCATCAGCGTTTGAAATGCCAGTCAAACAGATTGAGTCTGAGACATAAATCTATCGAACGATACCATAAGCATGGATTGGATACAATGACATGGATCCAGCCAGACAGCGAGCTGGACCACCGATCCCACTAGACAAGCCCACAACACGGGTTGCTGGATCCTCACGGGTGGTTATGAATTACAATAAGACTTATTATACCATGACTTCAGTAAATACTGGATTGTGATTGGTTAATTAAACTCATTCAGAAGCATATAATCACGTTATATCATACCTCTGATTTTCCTAATAGCTCTAAATCAAATTTAGAGCTGTTATAATATCGTTATATACCTCTGATGTTCCCTCACAGTGTGTTTATCTCCTAAATGAAGTCTTGACTGGTGGTTTATTTAAAAATATCCAGAATACTTTCAACAATAGTTTGTTGCAGATATTGTGTTGTTTACTGTATTACATACTACAGTTATAGAATGTAACCCAGTTATCGATCCCGTCAGTTTTTGTTATAATGTAAGCGAAGAGCCAGCTAACCTTATAGCATCTTGTCGGTACAACTCTGGTACTCTACATGGTTACAATTCATGGTGTTTAGACACTAGACGAGTCAAACTCTGGGACCAGCGACGTGTGCAAGTGTGTTAAGACACTAGACAAGTCAAACTCTGGGACCCGTGACGTGTGCAAGTGTGTGTTTAGACACTAGACGAGTCAAACTCTGGGACCAGCGACGTGTGCAAGTGTGTGTTTAGACACTAGACGAGTCAAACTCTGGGACCAGCGGCGTGTGCAAGTGTGTGTTTAGACACTAGACGAGTAAAACTCTGGGACCCGTGACGTGTGCAAGTGTGTTTTTAGACACTAGACGAGTAAAACTCTGGGACCCGTGACGTGTGCAAGTGTGTGTTTAGACACTAGACGAGTCAAACTCTGGGACCAGTGACGTGTGCAAGTGTGTGTTTAGACACTAGACGAGTCAAAACCAGTGACGTGCTGGGACCAGTGACGTGTACAAGTGTGTATTAAGACACTAGACGAGTCAAACTCTGGGACCAGTGATGTGTGCAAGTGTGTGTTAAGACACTAGACGAGTCAAACTCTGGGACCAGTGATGTGTGCAAGTGTGTGTTAAGACGCTTTAATAACATTCCTTACAGTGGAGACATCTTTTCCTACGTCGCCAGTCATCCCATTTACACCACAACGACAGTCCACGAGTCACAGGCGGTGGTGTGGCGGTGGGGTCGCCTAGTGGTTAAAGCCGTGATATTGCTGGAATATTGCTAAAAGCGGCGTAATATTGCTGGAAAATTGCTAAAAGCGGCGTAAAACACTCACTCACTCACTCACTCTCACTCACTCACTCACTCACTCACTCACTCACAGGCGACTGTAAATGAAAGTCAGACTTCAAGATGAATGTATTGATAACTGTGGCCTGAAACAATTCTCCAAGTTTCACCTTGTCATCCGACACCTGTTCAAAGCTGATGTGGGTGCTGTTGTGGATGGTCATCCGAGTGTAGCCGTAGTCAAGGTTGCGGAATGCTGACCACGGGCCTGCATCCTTGGCGAAGTTGTCATGGCGCTCACTGCAGCCCTGTGCGAGAAATGTATATTCCACTCTTTAATCTTTATTCACGTTACAATCCAAAGCAAAACCAATGTAAAAGTTTTGGTGTGTTTGGTGTGTCTGGCCCAGTCGTCTTGGGTGCCGCTTTACATAACTCAGTAAAACACAATCAAGTCTTTGGTTCGAGTCCCATATTACCCCAATGATGATCAAAGCACCCCCCACTCCCCACCCACCAGATAGTCAAGTGCGGCGAATTACATAATTCAGGTCTGTTCTGTGAAATAATACACATATACATAATATTTATATACAGTTACATTAATTTTAACCCTCCGGAATGCTTTCTATAAGGTGTGTCACACAACTTCTTACCGCTGATCCTGTGATCAGATGGACGGGGGCACCAGGGTTGGTGTAGGGCTGGTCGTAGCTGCCGTTGTACACCTGTAAACAAACACATAAGAATCTACTGTTAACATATATCGACTGTGTTTCTTGGGTGCACTATCGTTTTTCAAACCTGTTTTTTTGCATTTTCCAGATTCCCTGATACAGAACCCTGCTCCCTGGCGATAACTGATGGACACGTGCCCTTGTCTACAAGAGGACACAACTCCCTGCTCCCAGACCTCATTGTAAAGGTTTACCACTAAGACAGACCTCATTGTAAAGGTTTACCACTCAGACAGACCTCATTGTAAAGGTTTACCACTCAGACAGACCTCATTGTAAAGGTTTACCACTCAGACAGACCTCATTGTAAAGGTTTATCCACTCAGACAGACCTCATTGTAAAGGTTTATCACTCAGACAGACCTCATTGTAAAGGTTTATCACTCAGACAGACCTCATTGTAAAGGTTTATCACTCAGACAGACCTCATTGTAAAGGTTTATCACTCAGACAGACCTCATTGTAAAGGTTTACCACTCAGACAGACCTCATTTGTAAAGGTTTATCCTCAGACAGACCTCATTGTAAAGGTTTATCACTCATCGGTCTCATTGTAAAGGTTTATCACTCAGACAGACCTCATTGTAAAGGTTTATCACTCAGACAGACCTCATTGTAAAGGTTTATCACTCAGACAGACCTCATTGTAAAGGTTTATCACTCAGACAGACCTCATTGTAAAGGTTTACCGCTCAGACAGACCTCATTGTAAAGGTTTACCTCTCAGACAGACCTCATTGTAAAGGTTTATCACTCTGACCTCTATCCCTCTGACCTTGTGAAGGCAGTATAGACGGCCATCTTATTACAATAGTTACTGTCGTTTCCGACATGCTCGCTGACAACTTACTGTTCTGTTAAACACAGGCCAAAAGCGTTCATAGGAATGTTCGTGAGCCCACACCGCCAAGTCCACTCCATACCTGTCGAACATGTCCTCCAAACCGTTAACATGAAGTTTGGGAATGCCAGTCCTTACCTGGACAAATAGAATGAAGACAGTGACTGAGCGCTCCCCTGCTGGTACCCACCTTCCTGTTGTAGACGGGCCACAGTCGTTCGTAGGAGTGCTCGTGGGCCCACAGTGCCAGGTCCACGCCGTACTTGTCGAACATGTGCTCCAGCCCGCCCACATGCAGGAAGGGAATCCCGATTCTGACCTGCGAAGTTTAGATTCACATGACACCTCTTAAACAACAATGATAATCATAGGAGTGAGTCCATAGTGGGTCGCTTTGAACATTATTTATGTTTTATTATGGCGAGAGCTTAATGTGGCTGAAACACCAGAAGTAATGAAGAGATTAACCATTCTGCTCATGGGCACGGGTAGTTAAAGTTAACTGCAACAAGATTCGAATCCACAATCATCGGATCCTGCCAACATTAAGAAACGCATCTCTATGTGCACAGAGATGTGCAGTCCCACTGTACCGTTCGTGTTCCATGGGAGCATACACGCTGAAGAGGCAGAGGAGCAGGAATAAAACCAAAATCACATTCTAACTGCAATTATTCCTTTCTACGCTGTTTTTTGTTTGTTTTTGTTGCTGTTGTTCTGTCTAACAAATCTGATGTTTACGTCGCGTTCCCGATTAGTGAATAGAGTGGCGACATGCTTGCATATATGTGCGGCTGGTTATATTGTTTTCAGTTCAGAATAGTTCTGATTTTACAGAGCTACCACTGAGATACAGTTTAACATGGACAGCCTATTCAGACACAGTACACTCCAAGTCCACCAGTCGTTGCTCAGTCCTGTGCCTTGTGCTGGGAAGGGTAATAACTACTACTCTCTCAACATGTTTTCGTACGACGCGGTGGGGATCGAACCATCGAATTCCGCTCTCCGGCCAGACGCCCTATCCACTAGGCCAAGAAGGCGTTTGCTTTCTGTAGGTCCTCCCTGTTCTAGCTGTCCAGTTCTATTCAGCTGAACATAAATATATACGACGTGGTAACTGTGTACGCAAAGTCTTTTCATTTCCGCAAGTCTTTCAAGAAAACATTGACGGGTGACACTGCTACTTTAAGTGCATTAAGTTACAAGTATCTGATATACTTGACCATCTGACCATAAGAAATCTTCCTGATGATCATATTTTATCTATTATACAGATAACACAACTGGCAAGTGATAGTAACTTCTTACAGACAGTAGCATATGTAACATGTTATATTAGTAAGATCGTTGCATTGCTAGATTACGAATTATTACAAATTATTTTAACGATTACATTATGACAACATTCCTTTGTTTTAACTACGGTTTGCTGAGCTCAACTAAACTAAGCCAACCTCCCCTAACACAAGCTAGCCGTCAAGGTCCGGGTTAGAACTGGTCTTCAGTAACCCACGCTTGTCATAAGAGGCGACTAACGGGATCGGGTGGTCAGGTTCTCTGACTTGGTTGACATATGTCAACGTATCCCATGCTGTTGCTTTCTGGATTGTCTGGTGCGGCGTAAAACTTAACTCACTCACTCACTCACTCACTCACTGTGCTACGTCCAGGTTGTTCAGTGTACACATATCCCAGCTTCAGTGACAGTCAGGGGTAAATGAGAGAAGCATGCGACACACAGGACTGGGAACCAACTGAACACAACCATAGTCTGTCCTCACCAAGCTCTCCAGGTGGGTGCAGTCGTCGTTGTCAGTGTTGGAGCAGTACATCGGTCTGTGTCCCATCGTGATGATCCATGGCCGTTTAGCTCGGTTCTCGGGGAGACTTGCTTCCTGCATAAACACAGGAGGGTCGTGTAAGGTGAATGTGTAAGAGTGAATGTTGTCTGAGTGGAGGTTAAGGACATGTCCACGAGGACGTGAGGAACATTTTCAGTAGTCGGAGTACATGCTGTCCCTACCTTGAGGTCCTGCTCCAACCACTCGTACTGCCGGACAAGCTGAGAGATGCCGTAGTTGACGTAGAAGTAGTACTCGGTAGAGAAGGAGATGATGTGGGCGGGGCCTATGTCGAAACTGGAACACATAGAAAGCAGAGCTGATGAGTCCAGACAGACATGGAATCAAAGACCCCATCACAAGGATTGAGAGAGCAACTTAACGCCACAAACTCCTATTTGGTAAAAGAAGTAACCATAAGAAATGAATACAATGACATTCTCAAAAAGACAGCTATGATACAGTATGGTACAGTATGATGTAAAACTGTGAGTGCCGCACAAGCAACATATTATCTTCGGTCACTTGGACAAATTCTACAGCTGTTCGAAGAAATGCTGTTTGCACCACCCGTTTGAGAATACCATGAGTTCAGTAGGTCCAGAACCTATAAGAGTTTGAAGAATCAAGTGAGATGCAGTTCTGACGAGCATGCCCCATAACATTCTTGAGAACATTATAAAGTTTCCAATATCTCATACAATAGCTGTTTTATTGTGACCTCTTTCAAAGGACCTCTTTCGCTTCCAGAGCCTTGTCTTAAACCAAAAGGCGAGGCCCACTCTGTTGATCAATAACACTCTCCTAGATGAGGTAAGTTGTCGGATGTAATGTGTTTTGACTATACACGTACGTCACGATGTTACTGTGTTATGTACCAGTACACGTTAAATACCTTCCTACCATGTCCACTGGACCTACCGTGGCACTATGCAACGTCGTAATGTGTTTCTGGGATGGCTGCCTATCTGGCACTTTGCTTACCTGAAGAACATTCTATCTGACTGCTCGTCAGACGGCATGGTGAATCTGTTCTTATAGTTGGAGAAGTTGCTGGAACAGAAAAACCAGAATTAACAACGCCAGATCTTGGAAACAGGAGCTGTGAAAATCTGGATAAACACACGTCCTGGACAATTTACCCTGCCCATCTCATGAGTCCTCACACCGACGAAAATGTTCACACATTAAACCTCCGGTAAATGTAATGAGGTCGTCTAGCACAAACAAATAACATCCTTGCAACAATGCGATGGAAATGTTGGGTGGTAAGAGGGCCCAGTGTAGTTACAGAAGATATATTAAGCGAACAAGAGTTTCCAAATATACCACTTCATTCCCACCCAGTCCTCCTTAATATGAACAAGCTACTCTTCATGTTTAACATTTGATAATATGTCATATGCACATTGTAGAGGTGGCCAGTCTGTGGTGACTCGATCACTCCCTCGAATAATATATGAAGTAATTGTTCTTGAAGGATTTTACGAGTCTAAGTCAAAATCTCAGTATTCTGACAATTCTGTTAAGCTAACAAATCTTTTATACACAATCTTTTATTGTGTATAAATGTGCTGTAAACCGACCTCTGCCTAAAACGACATTATGTTTATATCTATCGGATGTCGGTTTAGACAGAGTCTGTTCACTATGACGGTAAACTGACTAGCTGTTCTCGTGGTTGCCAGGGCAGGTCATGTAAGGGAGATAAGCAGCTATGGGCTGAATCTGCCGCATGAAGGCGTCACCGACGGCGCTCTGATTCTGGAATGATAAGGTTGTAATGCGTGTATACAAGCGGAATGGATATTAAAGGTACACCTGGGACGTAGTAAGACTTCGGTAATGTACACATTTGTGTAAGGTCAATTTTACGCACGCACGCACGCAACTAACACGCACTCACGCACGCACACGCCCATACATACATAATTTATGAAGCCAATTATTCCGATAGTGAAATCAAACCGCAGGCACTCACTCCCGAGCAAATGAAAAGTAAACGCATACTCACCTTGTCCATGTCGTAAGCAAAATCACCTAAAAGTGGGAAAACACCGAATGTATTATTTTGCAGAAGAACTAAACAAAACAACACACGCAATATTCAGTTAAATATCAGCACTTTACGACTGAATCGAATATTTATACTATCTCAAAAGCCTTTAATTCAAAAGATAATTAATGTATTGATCGACATTATAATTCCTTAGAAACAACCAGGTTCAACTTTACAAATCGCTTGCGCACTGGTCTGAATAACACGAGTGCCCTTTAGGACTGATACTGGTGGTCCAGTGGTCTAAGCTGCACTTCGCTGTGCAGAGGTGCGGATCTCAGGGATCATTTACTGCTGTTTGTACCTCAACCCGTATCCACATTTGTATTCGCTAAATTGCATTGCTGAAAATAGACTTGGGCATCAACAGTTGTATCCGTACATTTGGGATACTTGCCCCGCACCCATTGTTGGTTCGATCCCGGTTTTTACAGAAACGGTCGGATGGAATAGTGCCTGTTCTTACGTCCGATTGTGAACCACGTGGGATATCCTTCATGCACGTCTGGAACACGGCATAAGTGTGGATACGTGTGGAAATAATCACCCACCAGGGTAAACATGAATACGGATCACGGTTACGGATACCCGGGTGAAAATAGAGACAGGGGTGGACCCGACCTTAGCCCGCTTTTTGTGATTCGAAACCCAGACTTCCCGTCAGTCTGTCAACTCAATATCCATTCTCGTGGTAGTCAATATTCATGAACTGCTCCACTTTGCAGTTGCGTACAACGTTAAGATGACAAACTGTGGATACACCCGACTGCGGAGGGTATTGTTGTATTTACGTACCGATGTGCAGGACGGCATCATACATGTCCACCTCAGACTGAAGTCTGGGCAGGGACTGGGCGTTCACGTTCCCCAGGTCCCCGAACATGACGATGCGGGGACTCCACTCGGTCCCCTCGGGCATGGCTGTAAAGGAGAAGGGATCGCTCCACCCATCGTCGCTGCCGCAGTGGTAGACTGGAGGTGTATGAAACAGACATCGTGACATTTACAAGTTAATTGTTGATGGTGACTATGATATACTTGTAATATTGCTGACTACGGGTCTATGTGAAATAGCTGTTATATTGCTGACTACGGGTCTATGTGATATAGCTGTAATATTGCTGACTACGGGTCCCTGTGATATAGCTGTAATATTGCTGACTACGGGTCCCTGTGATATAGCTGTAATATTGCTGACTAAGGGTCCCTGTGATATACATGTAGCTGTAATATTGCTGATTACAGGTCCCTGTAATATAGCTGTAATATTGCTGACTACGTGTCCCTGTGATATAGATGTAATATTGCTGACTACGGGTCCATGTGATATAGCTGTAATATTGCTGACTACGGGTCCCTGTGATATACCTGCAATATTGCTGATTACAGGTCCCTGTGATATAACTGTAATATTGCTGACGACGGGTCCCTAATATATAGCTGTAATATTGCTGATTACGGGTCCCTATTATATAGCTGTAATATTGCTGACTACGGGTCCCTGTGATATAGCTGTAATATTGCTGACTACGGGTCCATCTGATATAGCTGTAATATTCCTGACTACCAGTCCCTGTGATATAGCTGTAATATTGCTGACTAAGGGTCCCTGTGATATAGCTGTAATATTGCTGACTACGGGTCCCTGTGATATAGCTGTAATATTGCTGACTACGGGTTCCTGTGATATAGCTGTAATATTGCTGACTACGGGTTCCTGTGATATAGCTGTAATATTACTGACTACGGGTCCCTGTGATATAACTGTAATATTGCTGACTACGGGTCCCTGTGATATAACTGTAATATTGCTGACTACGGGTCCCTGTGATATAACTGTAATATTGCTGACTACGGGTCCCTGTGATATAACTGTAATATTGCTGACTCCGGGTCCCTGTGATATAACTGTAATATTGCTGACTACGGCCCACAGTAAACTTCGTTTGTAACGAACACGCTTATTACGAACTAACGATTATAAGAAACTGTTCTGGGTGTCCCTTGCACTTACTATAGCTGTTAATGGAAATGCGTATGACGAACTACGGTTATAACGAACCAAAACTAGTGGTCCCTTGTTCGTCATAACCGTGGTTTACTGTACCTATATGGTATTAATACCGATAGGTCACGATATGAGGTACGCACAATACCCTGTACCTATAAAGTAATAATACCGATAGGTCACGATATGAGGTACGCACAATACCCCTGTACCTATAAAGTAATAATACCGATAGGTCATGATATGAGGTACGCACAATACCCCTGTACCTATAAAGTAATAATACCGATATGTCACGATATGAGGTACGCACAATACCACTGTACCTATAAACTAATAATACCGATATGTTTCGATATGAGGTATGCACAAAACCACTGTACCTATAAAGTAATAATACCGATATGTTTCGATATGAGGTACGCACAAAAGCCACTGTACCTATAAAGTAATAACATCGATATGTCACGATATGAGGTACGCACAATACCACTGTACCTATACTCTAACAATACCGATATGTCACGATATGAGGTACGCACAATACCACTGTACCTATACTGTAATAATACCGATATGTCATGATATGAGGTATGCACAATACCACTGTACCTATACTGTAATAATACCGATATGTCACGATAAGAGATACGCACAATACCACTGTACCTATAAAGTAATAATACCGATATGTCACGATATGAGGTACGCACAATACCCTGTACCTATAAAGTAATAATACCGATATGTCACGATGTGAGGTACGCACAATACACTGTACAATAAAGTAACCTCACGATGTGAGGGTACGCACAATACCACTGTACCTAATACCGATATGTCACGATAAGAGATACGCACAATACCACTGTACCTATAAAGTAATAATACCGATATGTCACGATGTGAGGTACGCACAATACCACTGTACCTATACGTAATAACACTGTACCTATAGTGTAATAATACCGATATGTCACGATATGAGGTACGCACAATACCTCTGGCCTCACAACCTGGGCAAAGGACGTACACAGTCTGTTCGCTGACACAGCTGATGTCCTGATGTTGCATATTAGTCCAGTGGCTTAGGTCCGATTTTCAGGTTTATCTTTACATGCCGGAGTAAAGCATAAAACGTTGCAAAGTGCAGGGGAACATCATGATAAAACATATTTCGGGGTTTGTCCGATGTTTTTGGGACTATTTTCCCAAAAATCCAATAAGGCCTCCAAATATCAAAGAGTGCTGAAGTCCACCCAGAATGGTCGCCGACTATAAAAAATCTTCACTGATTGCAATATGTGAGGTATATTCGCCCTTCAAAGGGCTATTTCTAATACTTTCATGAAATCTAACAATTAAGATTTATGTTTGGTAGTAAAAGATATAATTCATCCTCCAATTAATGAAAAAGTTACTGTTTTGATCAGTCACGTGACATTTTGTCATTTTGTCAATCATCGACCTCTGTGATTCTGAAGTCTCCGTTAACAGTTTCCATTGCAGTTACAGAGCGATGTGCATAGAAGCTGAGAAGATTTACAAATGCACTTCTTTGAGCATAGAGGTTGAGACTTTTTGATAATCTTGTTGATAATGGTACCAGCAGAAAGCCTATTTCAATAGACACTATTTATAGCTCTTCCAAACCTACACTTCCAGACAGTTACTGTATAGTTCCTGCAGTAGCCTGCAATGTGGAGAGAGTTAATGAGGCTGGAACTCACATGCATCATCAAGTCGAGGACAACATCACCAAAGCTAAAGAAGAATCTTTGATCAAGCACTGCATTGGCTTTCTTGCTAAAGAACATTTGAAAAGGATGAGTTTATTTCATGCCTCTCGTCAATCCCACGAACAGGTCGCAGTAGGAATAAGTTCCCTCCTTCCTCTCTCTAAGGACAAAGCCGCAAGTCTTGCCATGGTTAGACATGGTATGTCTATCATCAAGACAGTCACAGAACATTGCAATCCAGGACAACTCCCAGTCATGGCTGTAGACCAACCACTTTGCGTTAGCAAAATATGTTCATTGAAGATGGCGAAAGTGAATTTGGTGAAGACGTGTGCACTATCATGCTTGGAGGTCTTCAAATTGAAATAGCCTTATGGAAAATGTCCTCACTGGAACCGCACGTTCAACAATCATTTGAGGGCTGTCTGAAAAAATTGGATGTCGTACATTGGAGTCCAACATTCAAATACTGGGATTTGATTCTTCATCTTGAGACAATGATACTGATGTTTGTGAAGTCCCATCGTGAAAGAAACATATCTCTGTATATCCAGGTAATCGAACATCTTTTCTCTTGGTTCTTTGCTCTTGATCACACCAACTATGCAGGCTTGTTGTCAGTTCACATCAAAGATATGAAAGCCCTCCCTGTCGACAGAAGAGAAGACCCTTCAGAGAGGTTGGGTTTTCCCCAAAACATCAAACACATTTCTGCCATGCTTTTGGATCAAGCTCATGAACAAAACAGCAAAGTTGTAAAACACTCAGGTGGTGCAGTTGGATTAACAGAAATGTTGCCTTAATTAGATGGGTGATATCTGGACCAGAACATGCAAGAATTCTGCAAGAGTTTGAGAAGCAAGATGACAAGGTGGATACAAGAAGCAATGAACATGGTTTTGCTACACAGCAGACATTTAAGACTCCTGGAAAAGTCTCCTGATCTGATGACCCTTGATGAGCATCACTGTGTTGGTGAAGCTGTTGTAGCATATCACCTCCCTTTTTTCAAGTGACCACAAACAAAACCTCAGTTTAAGTCAAACAGCAAACGGATGACCTGAACAGTGACTACAGTCTCTTCAGTCAGATGTTCATTGAATGTCAGGTACGTCAATATGATTTAAATCAATCTGTTCTCATGAAAACCACCCGTGGCCACCATCCATATCAATTCATGGAAAACTTCAGTTACGAAACTGCAAATCAGAGCTCTTACACTGCATCACTTGAGTATGACTCTGCTCCTGACATTGATGCCAAAGTGTTTGATGGCGCCTCATAGAGGTGATTCCCAAATGTCTGGTGATCCCTATAAACGAAGAGACAACTGGAGGGCTGCCATCGTATGGGCATTGTTTGGGACATCTACAAAGAAGGTAGTATGAAGGAGACAACACGAGAAAAGCGAAGAAAAGGTAGTAGGAGAAAACTTTCCCGTCATACTAGACTACCTATGATCTTTGTTTCTTTTCTAAAAGAATCAAAGGACAAAGAAAAACTCTGGTGTGGCTAGCATCTCTTACCAACCAGGAAAGGTGGTGTTCATAACAGCTGTGGAGTCAGTGGTGACAGTAGGAAGTGAAGAGGATATGCAAACTGGTTGAATTAAAGTCTGCTGTTCAGCTGTGGATGTCATTTGGATAAGGGAAAATCTTCAGATATTATCACATCAACAGAATATTCCAAGATCTGGTCTGTCGAAGATGAGTGGCGCTTCTCTTTTTCCACGCATTCACTGATTCTGACACAACATCACAGTTCAATGGAGAAGGCAAGAAAACTGCTTGGAAGACTTGGATATCTTATGAGGATGTGACTGAGAGATTCCCTTTTCCTGTATAGTATCCATTCCAACCTGTGAACAAAGACTCAGAAGATTTTCATCACTTGAGCTATTCACATGCATCATGTCTGACAGCATTAGGGTCAGTGAACATAGTCAACGAACTGCGACAAGAAATGTTCTGCCACGACCGCAAGATCAAATTGATGCAGAACCTTCTTCCCACTCAGGATGCTCTGCTACAGCACACAAACAGGAGCTTGTACCAGGCCAGCATATGGCCTACTTATTTACTTCCCAGATAGAAAGCACCAGAGCAAGATTTGTTTAGTTGGGCAAGGGACGACAACACATGCCGACCGGTGTAATGCCACTGTCAGAAGCTTCACGAAGTTTTCAAGAACTGTGGCTACAAGTCTCAACCTCTATGCTCAAAGAA